GCAAACGGTACCGTATCCGGCGAAAAAAACGTGCCGGCTCGTGGACACACATGAATATAATATAATGTATAACCACCTATCCGGCAAGTTCACCGGAACAGCGAACGGCGAATATTCTGATCGTGGACAAGCGGCCTAAAAGTTATGTTAGGTAAGTTTCAATGATTTCGAGGTTATGTTTGTATTACGCTATTGTTTGGCTAATATCATCTGTAGACTGTTATGTTATTATGGTTAATATTTTAATATTCTCTTTTTAAGGCATTCAGATCATTATCCTAATTTGGAACATTTTGCTGATTTTTCCTGTGGTCACCCTAAAAAACGCAACGATTTTTTCTGCTATGAACTATCCCAGGATGACATACATACATACAATAAGAAACACGTTTCATAAAACGAAAAAAAAGAATGTACAGGATAATAAATTGGGACATTTTATGGATGTTGGAAAACCAGATAGAAGTCGTAACCGAAGACCAGGAGGAAAATCGCACAGTTTTTCTACAAGATATTTTGTAAGTTTACTCTTAAATAATTTGATTTAGCTTAAAAGGGTGATTGTTTAGAAATACACTCCGGTGGAAAATATAGTATTTTTTAAATCGGCCCTTAACTTATCCCGATCGAACGACAAAAAATTCAAACTGGAAACTTAAATTTAAAGATATAATCGTGGTTTAAGCAACGCTTTACTATCGGAAGGTCAGGTTTAATTTTACCTTGGACTTTATATTATTTATTTTAGGTTTGGAAAACGGGAAAAAAGTCTGCATTTGCCTGAAACTATTCTTAGCAATATTTAGCGTCAGTCAGAGACGGGTAAATACTATTGCTCGGAATATCCAATCTGGCAGTGGCATTATTGAGAAGCGTGGACGAGACAAACGCTCTTTTAATCATGTAAATAAATTTGAAGCTGTGAAAAAATTCAAAGCTAGTTTGAAAGGACATGAAAGTCATTACGGCCGTGCTAAATCTCGTCGCATCTATCTTTCAGCCGAAAATAATATTACTGCTTTATTGAATATGTACAACCAGGGTGCAGTTGAAAATTTGAAAGTGAATTACAAGTATTTTAGTAGGATCTTTAATAATAATTTCAATATAGCATTTGGGAGTCCTGCCACCGACGTATGCGGTTTTTGCGTTAGGACCCAAACTTCTATTGGCATTTGCAAAGACAAAAATGAAATAGACAAGTTGAAAACTTCTCTGCGTGTGCATAAAATACGGGCCAAACAATTGTTCAGTCTAATGAAAGAGAAACCGGCACAGAGTGTTTCTTATTGTTTTGACCTTCAGCAGGTTCAAGTTACAAAAAATGGACAAAATGCGTTTAGAAAGTCTGCTCCTCACTTGTCCCACCGGTGCTTCCACTGCTCCAAATATTTTTTGAAGTCTTCCTTAGAAATGCCTGACAGCTCCTCCCTCGTTTTTTTCTTGAATCAAGCCATTTTTAGCCAGCAACTGTCGACCAGAGATGGCTATGTTCACAGGTGCATTATCGTGGTGGAAGAACTAGTCTCCTGACTGCCACAAATCGGGCCTTTTCTGCCGAACACTGTTTCGTAGTCGTCTCAAAACCTCCAAATAAAACGTGTGATTGACAGTGTGACCTGGGGGAACAAACTCTGAATGGACTACACCTTTGACATCAAAAAAACAAATCAGCATTGTTTTGATGGTTGATTTGACTTGACGACATGTTTTGGACGGGGTGACGATGACGTCTTCCATTGACTTGACTGTTGCTTCGTTTCTGGGCCATAACCGTAGCACCAAGTCTCATCACGAGTGATGATCTTTGACAGAAAAGTTGGATCAGATTCAAGCTGTTGTTTCAAAGAACGACATGTTTCAACTCGGTGTCCTTTTTTATTGTCAGTCAGAGTCCGAGGAACAAACTTAGCAGCAACCCTTTTCATTCCAAAATCTTATGTTAAAATTCGCTGAACCGAACTCCAGGACAACCCACTACTTACGGATATTTGATCGATTGTCAGTCGACGGTCTGCACAAGCTCTCGATTTTTTCAACATTTTCGTCGATTCGGGCAGTTAATGGACGTCCAGAGCGACATCTCGCCATTTTTTAATAGAGCAAACCACTCGTACACCTGAGTTTTTCCCATAGCAGCATCTTTGTCAGCTATTTTCAACCTTAAAACAGTTTCAGCAGCATTTTTACCAATTAGAAAGCAAAAATTCGCAGCTGCACGTTGCTCACTGAAGCTTGCCATCGTAAAAAACGGAACAAGCACAAAACAGCTCTAGCAAAAATAATAACTACAGAGGAACGAAACAAGCCAGATCGACAACACAGGTGACACGGAACTGGTAATGAGTTGCGCTGTACGCCTATATGGGCAGAAATGTGTAGTACACAAGCTCCGCCCACTGCAATGCTATTCCGGTTATTTTTGGGTACCTCCTGGTGGTATATTTGCGGTGATAACCAGTCGAAAGCAGAAAAATACACATTTATTCTGGGCCCCTTCGTGCTACTTCTATGAAAACCCCTAAATTCCGATGCCCCTGGGTCAATTTCCGATATTCCTGTGATAGCTCCACCCCTAGATAATCAAGATATTATCAATTTGTTTTCGATTATGGTAACGATGTCTCATGCATTAAGTTTTTTGAAGAACTGTTGCAATCGTATAGAAAAAAATACAGTAACGAACCTTTTTTTTTAACTTCAATGATACACTATTAAATAGAAAGGAGAAACTACCAAATCTGTCACCTAAATTTCCTGTTAGATCTTTTCTTAATAATCACCTAATCATTAAAAAATCAAGGCTAGTTTACTAAACATAATAGCTTCTATAGCAATAATTCTGGGAATGTGTTTTGATTTGTGTTTATGATTTCCTCTACTGATAAGGTTAACTAACATTAAATAGATAAAAAGGGTGATTCACAAGTCGTGACCAAAAATAAAACATCAACACAGGACCGCAAGGGGAGTCTTCTATGTAACATTTTTTCCGCGAGGGCTTTATTAAAAAGATCGGAAGTTTAAAAATAAAAAACATTTTTTTAATATCTTCGAAACCGTCAACTGGAGTGTTTGGTATGTGGATTTACCTAAGTATTGACCATGTTCAGAAGTCTTTACTTAAAATTAACCTGCACCAGTGGCGGAGATACAGGGGATTAGTGGCATTATTTTTCCAAATAAAAATAGTACGTGCAATGTTTCGAATTTCACTTTCAATTTGCTACAAATAATTACTCTTGTGTTTTTTCATAGACTGCACTATTTTCTTAAAAATAAAACAAATTAGATCGTTCGTGAAGAGCCGTGATACAATTCGTTTCAAAATAAAGTACGAGGCCTTGATACCAACATGACGTTTCTTTGACCTAAAAGTTTTTGTATGCTTAAAATGAATTGATAATTGGTAGCTACTCTGTACATAGATACTGTTATCAAAAAGTATTATTTGTCTCATATTTCGTTTCATAAAATCTTAATTTCTTTTATTACAGATGGCATAACGCTTTTGCTAGCAAAATACGATGAAGTACCGTAATTTCGAAAATATTCATTTTCTGGTATTTGTAGAATTTGTATCCTGCAGTTTCCGGACTATATATCTTCGATTTATGCGACGCCGTCGTTTTTTTCTATATATTTTATTAAAGTTGCAAGTTCTTATGACAAGAAAGATGTTTAGAAATATGACAAGTCTGGCTCTGGTGGAATTCAAACCCAAAACATTATTTTCTCTCCTTTGTCCAAATTTTATATAGGTTTGCAAGAATGAAGATAGGAGTAACATAATAAAAGTCAAGTCAAAACACTTTTTTTCGCACCCATGGCTACCTAACGGTAACTCGAATTCAAACTTGAACCCAATTTTTACTTGTTTTGAAGTTGTATCAAGGCACTAAGTATGAACTTACCAATAATTATGTGAAATATAAATACTATTTTCGTTCTTAAAATACGTGATTGAAAGAAAAGCATATAAGTATTTGTTTCACAAATTAAATCTATCCTGATCAATCAATCAACATATGTGGTATATTTATATTTATTAAAAACTTCCAATAAAACATAAACATAAAATGCAAAGAATGATCTGCAGAAAATATGTAAATAAACAAATTTCTTGATCACCTGTGCTCTACTAAGTTGCTTGTCAAACTCCTTGTATCAACATTTGCTCTCCCAGAAGGTTTTCAATACTTAATTCCCATTGAATTGCTTAGAAGAACACAATTTTGATAGAGAAGTGATATCAGATTAGTAGTTGAGGATATGATCAGGGTCACAACAGCATACACAAGTTGATATCAGGCTGAAGTTGATTTGCTTTTGGTGAGTATAGTGACTAATGAAATCAGTTTTGTTTACTCACATGATATTGGAGAATTTCGTGAAAATATATGAATTAAATTAAGGAATACGAAAAGCAGCTGAATATAAAAAATGTAACACTGTTGAGTACTTTTCAAATATGCTTAGATATAAACATACACTTACTACTGATAAAACTAAATATTTTTCTTGTAAGAATAATGAATTTTATAAGCCTCATATGGAGAAAATGGAAGAACTAATTATGTCGAAAGCATATTTATCGGGTACAAGGAAATTGCAGACAAGAATTTGATATGGAACCTATGGCTCATGTCATATGGTTGTTCCCTTACCTAGGGGACTACATCAAACAACAAGCGCAGCTACGTTATAGTGAAGCGGAATCGCATAACAACCCTTTGTTGCGCAAGTCAGTAGATTACACAGTCGAGCAAGTTTGCAAGCATACAAGGCCGCGACTCGCACTGTGAACGAAATTAAATCGTGCGACTTTAGGTCCAACCAAAATTATAATTTTCTTCAACAACCAACCCCAAAATTAATTTTAGGTAAGTTTTTATTTTACTTTTCACTTCTAGATGATTTTTTAACATTTTTTATTGTATAGGTCCAAAGTGTTAATTTATTATATTTTCTAGGTCTTTATTAAAAAACCAATTGACAATGTTACAAACAGAATAAAAAAAAATATTCTGTCTACAGATAATAACACAAATTAACATTGAGCTAATTAAAAAAACCTGTAACGGAAAACCATATTAAGTAGCAAAATCATAAACTGTATCATTGGAACAACTAGATTGTGGGCTAGTATAGGTCTGTGGATAAATCTGTTCACAGACCGAAGAATTATTGATGTTCGTTGACTGTTGCGAATTGTGTGTTGTAGAGTAACTTTGATTATACTGATCTGAATTTCTCCATGAGGCTGTTGTTGATGATGGACCTGCTGTGGTTTGCAATTCATAACGCGGTGAATGTAATTCATGGAACAAACTTTCGGATTGTTGTGTAAAATGTTGACTACTTTGTTTTTTGCATGTAATATTTTTAATTATTTTCATCACTTCATACTGAAATGTGACGATATCTTCATCAGAAAATGTTTCTACTGTTGGGGCAATACCCCGAAAAAAAGACATCATTCGGGTTTGGTTCTGTTCCAGTGAAGCATCGATAACCTTCCTCATTTTCTCGTCTAGATCATTAGAGCCTACTTTGCTTTTGGATTTTTTTTTTGTGCAAATATTTTTTTCTGCTCGTGGCAGATTTTGCGTTTCGGCTATCGCAATGGCAGCATCAGTTTGGGCATTCAAAGCTTCGGTATTAGACTGGTCTGCAAAATAAAAGTAAAAGTTATAAAAATTCCTAAAGTATATTATAAAACATGTTTTTTACCATCATTTTCGGAAATATTTGAAAAAGTCACTCGGTGATCTGCAATTTTTTGAAGGAATCGTAGCTCTTCGTAAAACAAATATTTGCGTATTTTCTTAGCCCCAGCACCAGATTTTTTCTCCTCGTTTATTTTTTTATGGCATTTCATCCAATTGTCTCTTATGTTTGCCCATTTTTTCATTACCATTTTCCCTAAAAATGTTTGTTGTTTTAGGTACTTAGCATCCGGAAATACATTCACGGACCTCCATTATAGTTTCAGAATTGGAATAAAAACAATTAGTAGGATTGTGCGGGAAGTCTGCTCGAATATATGGCTGTTATTACATAAAGAATATATGGCAATTCCAGACGTCAGTACATGGCAGAATATAGCATATGCATTCGAGAAAACGGCAAATTTTCCGAACTGTATAGGGGCCGTTGACGGCAAACACATTAGACTTATCAAACCAGAAGACAGTGAGTCGATGTATTTTAACTACAAGGGATATTGTTCAATAGTCCAGATGGCAATAGCTGATTCAAATTATAATTTCATTTACGTAGATGTGGGAGCGTATGGAAAAGACTGCGATTCAAGTGTGTTTAAATAATCATCGTTCTGGAAAAAACTGCAAGAAAATGCACTAGACATACCAACTCCTAGGCAGCTTCCAAATACCGATGTACAGGCTCCTTATGAACTAGTAGGCGATGAAGCTTTTGCATTGCATATGAATTTACTTCGTCCTTATGGTGGTCGAGAACTAGACCAAACCAAGCGAATTTTTAATTACCGTTTAAGCAGAGTAAGACGTTTTATCGAATGTTCATTTGGAATAATGACTAATAAATGGAGGATTTTTCACTGCCCATTGAATGTATCCATTAATCTTGCAAGTGATATCGTTAAAGCATGTTGCATTCTCCAAAATTTTATTCACAAAGAAGAAGGCCTAAATAGAAATATAGCAGATACGGCAATGGATATAGATTCTGAACTAAATGAACTCACACGCTCAAAATCGATACGAGGCAGTTTGTCAGTGAATGATACTAGAACGAAGTTCGCTAGCTACTTTGTTTCCGAAGCTGGACAAATTCCTTGGCAAAATAAATTTGCTTAATTATTATTATTTGAGTACTGTATAATACAAAATACCATGTATAATACAAAAATAAAAACGTTATAAAAAGCACATACCAATGTCGTTTCTATCTTTATCTGGTAGAGAGTCAAAATCTTCTTTCATTTGCCTGCATACTTCCTTCCAACTTTCCAAAGTCAATCGTTTGTCTTTATATTCATCTACAGTTTTATCCCATAAGACTGGCCTTTCCTGGACTAGAGTTATAAGTACCTCAGAGTCAATATTTACTTCTAAGCTCATTTTATCACGCACGGCACCACTCTCCTCAAGCATCGAAATATGTTATCGCATTATCGGGTAGCACGCCGCTGCCCGCTGATCGGCCACACGGTGAATCTGACGGTTTGTTTACAAACCTACACGTTGATACATGTCTAACTGCATCACGGCGCGCCGTCCGGCTGCCGTCTCTACAGTGGGAATCCGGTAGTGCAAACGGTACCGTATCCGGCGAAAAAAACGTGCCGGCTCGTGGACACACATGAATATAATATAATGTATAACCACCTATCCGGCAAGTTCACCGGAACAGCGAACGGCGAATATTCTGATCGTGGACAAGCGGCCTAAAAGTTATGTTAGGTAAGTTTCAATGATTTCGAGGTTATGTTTGTATTACGCTATTGTTTGGCTAATATCATCTGTAGACTGTTATGTTATTATGGTTAATATTTTAATATTCTCTTTTTAAGGCATTCAGATCATTATCCTAATTTGGAACATTTTGCTGATTTTTCCTGTGGTCACCCTAAAAAACGCAACGATTTTTTCTGCTATGAACTATCCCAGGATGACATACATACATACAATAAGAAACACGTTTCATAAAACGAAAAAAAAGAATGTACAGGATAATAAATTGGGACATTTTATGGATGTTGGAAAACCAGATAGAAGTCGTAACCGAAGACCAGGAGGAAAATCGCACAGTTTTTCTACAAGATATTTTGTAAGTTTACTCTTAAATAATTTGATTTAGCTTAAAAGGGTGATTGTTTAGAAATACACTCCGGTGGAAAATATAGTATTTTTTAAATCGGCCCTTAACTTATCCCGATCGAACGACAAAAAATTCAAACTGGAAACTTAAATTTAAAGATATAATCGTGGTTTAAGCAACGCTTTACTATCGGAAGGTCAGGTTTAATTTTACCTTGGACTTTATATTATTTATTTTAGGTTTGGAAAACGGGAAAAAAGTCTGCATTTGCCTGAAACTATTCTTAGCAATATTTAGCGTCAGTCAGAGACGGGTAAATACTATTGCTCGGAATATCCAATCTGGCAGTGGCATTATTGAGAAGCGTGGACGAGACAAACGCTCTTTTAATCATGTAAATAAATTTGAAGCTGTGAAAAAATTCAAAGCTAGTTTGAAAGGACATGAAAGTCATTACGGCCGTGCTAAATCTCGTCGCATCTATCTTTCAGCCGAAAATAATATTACTGCTTTATTGAATATGTACAACCAGGGTGCAGTTGAAAATTTGAAAGTGAATTACAAGTATTTTAGTAGGATCTTTAATAATAATTTCAATATAGCATTTGGGAGTCCTGCCACCGACGTATGCGGTTTTTGCGTTAGGACCCAAACTTCTATTGGCATTTGCAAAGACAAAAATGAAATAGACAAGTTGAAAACTTCTCTGCGTGTGCATAAAATACGGGCCAAACAATTGTTCAGTCTAATGAAAGAGAAACCGGCACAGAGTGTTTCTTATTGTTTTGACCTTCAGCAGGTTCAAGTTACAAAAAATGGACAAAATGCGTTTAGAAAGTCTGCTCCTCACTTGTCCCACCGGTGCTTCCACTGCTCCAAATATTTTTTGAAGTCTTCCTTAGAAATGCCTGACAGCTCCTCCCTCGTTTTTTTCTTGAATCAAGCCATTTTTAGCCAGCAACTGTCGACCAGAGATGGCTATGTTCACAGGTGCATTATCGTGGTGGAAGAACTAGTCTCCTGACTGCCACAAATCGGGCCTTTTCTGCCGAACACTGTTTCGTAGTCGTCTCAAAACCTCCAAATAAAACGTGTGATTGACAGTGTGACCTGGGGGAACAAACTCTGAATGGACTACACCTTTGACATCAAAAAAACAAATCAGCATTGTTTTGATGGTTGATTTGACTTGACGACATGTTTTGGACGGGGTGACGATGACGTCTTCCATTGACTTGACTGTTGCTTCGTTTCTGGGCCATAACCGTAGCACCAAGTCTCATCACGAGTGATGATCTTTGACAGAAAAGTTGGATCAGATTCAAGCTGTTGTTTCAAAGAACGACATGTTTCAACTCGGTGTCCTTTTTTATTGTCAGTCAGAGTCCGAGGAACAAACTTAGCAGCAACCCTTTTCATTCCAAAATCTTATGTTAAAATTCGCTGAACCGAACTCCAGGACAACCCACTACTTACGGATATTTGATCGATTGTCAGTCGACGGTCTGCACAAGCTCTCGATTTTTTCAACATTTTCGTCGATTCGGGCAGTTAATGGACGTCCAGAGCGACATCTCGCCATTTTTTAATAGAGCAAACCACTCGTACACCTGAGTTTTTCCCATAGCAGCATCTTTGTCAGCTATTTTCAACCTTAAAACAGTTTCAGCAGCATTTTTACCAATTAGAAAGCAAAAATTCGCAGCTGCACGTTGCTCACTGAAGCTTGCCATCGTAAAAAACGGAACAAGCACAAAACAGCTCTAGCAAAAATAATAACTACAGAGGAACGAAACAAGCCAGATCGACAACACAGGTGACACGGAACTGGTAATGAGTTGCGCTGTACGCCTATATGGGCAGAAATGTGTAGTACACAAGCTCCGCCCACTGCAATGCTATTCCGGTTATTTTTGGGTACCTCCTGGTGGTATATTTGCGGTGATAACCAGTCGAAAGCAGAAAAATACACATTTATTCTGGGCCCCTTCGTGCTACTTCTATGAAAACCCCTAAATTCCGATGCCCCTGGGTCAATTTCCGATATTCCTGTGATAGCTCCACCCCTAGATAATCAAGATATTATCAATTTGTTTTCGATTATGGTAACGATGTCTCATGCATTAAGTTTTTTGAAGAACTGTTGCAATCGTATAGAAAAAAATACAGTAACGAACCTTTTTTTTTAACTTCAATGATACACTATTAAATAGAAAGGAGAAACTACCAAATCTGTCACCTAAATTTCCTGTTAGATCTTTTCTTAATAATCACCTAATCATTAAAAAATCAAGGCTAGTTTACTAAACATAATAGCTTCTATAGCAATAATTCTGGGAATGTGTTTTGATTTGTGTTTATGATTTCCTCTACTGATAAGGTTAACTAACATTAAATAGATAAAAAGGGTGATTCACAAGTCGTGACCAAAAATAAAACATCAACACAGGACCGCAAGGGGAGTCTTCTATGTAACATTTTTTCCGCGAGGGCTTTATTAAAAAGATCGGAAGTTTAAAAATAAAAAACATTTTTTTAATATCTTCGAAACCGTCAACTGGAGTGTTTGGTATGTGGATTTACCTAAGTATTGACCATGTTCAGAAGTCTTTACTTAAAATTAACCTGCACCAGTGGCGGAGATACAGGGGATTAGTGGCATTATTTTTCCAAATAAAAATAGTACGTGCAATGTTTCGAATTTCACTTTCAATTTGCTACAAATAATTACTCTTGTGTTTTTTCATAGACTGCACTATTTTCTTAAAAATAAAACAAATTAGATCGTTCGTGAAGAGCCGTGATACAATTCGTTTCAAAATAAAGTACGAGGCCTTGATACCAACATGACGTTTCTTTGACCTAAAAGTTTTTGTATGCTTAAAATGAATTGATAATTGGTAGCTACTCTGTACATAGATACTGTTATCAAAAAGTATTATTTGTCTCATATTTCGTTTCATAAAATCTTAATTTCTTTTATTACAGATGGCATAACGCTTTTGCTAGCAAAATACGATGAAGTACCGTAATTTCGAAAATATTCATTTTCTGGTATTTGTAGAATTTGTATCCTGCAGTTTCCGGACTATATATCTTCGATTTATGCGACGCCGTCGTTTTTTTCTATATATTTTATTAAAGTTGCAAGTTCTTATGACAAGAAAGATGTTTAGAAATATGACAAGTCTGGCTCTGGTGGAATTCAAACCCAAAACATTATTTTCTCTCCTTTGTCCAAATTTTATATAGGTTTGCAAGAATGAAGATAGGAGTAACATAATAAAAGTCAAGTCAAAACACTTTTTTTCGCACCCATGGCTACCTAACGGTAACTCGAATTCAAACTTGAACCCAATTTTTACTTGTTTTGAAGTTGTATCAAGGCACTAAGTATGAACTTACCAATAATTATGTGAAATATAAATACTATTTTCGTTCTTAAAATACGTGATTGAAAGAAAAGCATATAAGTATTTGTTTCACAAATTAAATCTATCCTGATCAATCAATCAACATATGTGGTATATTTATATTTATTAAAAACTTCCAATAAAACATAAACATAAAATGCAAAGAATGATCTGCAGAAAATATGTAAATAAACAAATTTCTTGATCACCTGTGCTCTACTAAGTTGCTTGTCAAACTCCTTGTATCAACATTTGCTCTCCCAGAAGGTTTTCAATACTTAATTCCCATTGAATTGCTTAGAAGAACACAATTTTGATAGAGAAGTGATATCAGATTAGTAGTTGAGGATATGATCAGGGTCACAACAGCATACACAAGTTGATATCAGGCTGAAGTTGATTTGCTTTTGGTGAGTATAGTGACTAATGAAATCAGTTTTGTTTACTCACATGATATTGGAGAATTTCGTGAAAATATATGAATTAAATTAAGGAATACGAAAAGCAGCTGAATATAAAAAATGTAACACTGTTGAGTACTTTTCAAATATGCTTAGATATAAACATACACTTACTACTGATAAAACTAAATATTTTTCTTGTAAGAATAATGAATTTTATAAGCCTCATATGGAGAAAATGGAAGAACTAATTATGTCGAAAGCATATTTATCGGGTACAAGGAAATTGCAGACAAGAATTTGATATGGAACCTATGGCTCATGTCATATGGTTGTTCCCTTACCTAGGGGACTACATCAAACAACAAGCGCAGCTACGTTATAGTGAAGCGGAATCGCATAACAACCCTTTGTTGCGCAAGTCAGTAGATTACACAGTCGAGCAAGTTTGCAAGCATACAAGGCCGCGACTCGCACTGTGAACGAAATTAAATCGTGCGACTTTAGGTCCAACCAAAATTATAATTTTCTTCAACAACCAACCCCAAAATTAATTTTAGGATCAATTTAAAATTGCCAAATATTAACTAGCAATGCCATCAAATTGATGCACTTCTTTTTTCTTTGCTCTCCCTCCTTCCTTCCTCCCTGGCTTCTTCCCTTCTTTCTCCCTGACTTTGTTTGGTATCTGGGCAATTAGACCTGACAGACCTACTGACTTAACCCCTTCGCCCCGGCCAGTATATTCAGCAAGCGCGCTGTCATCCGGCCGCATCGTCAGCGCTGCGCCTGGCGACGCGATGCGCCGTTTCAAGATACATGCATATTACCTTGGATTGCGCGTGCTTCTCTCTGTGTGGAAAGAGAGTAAATACAACGTGGCCGGTTTATTCACTCTACTGTGTGTCGGGCTTATTAGTTTGAAGTCTATACAAGTTGGTCTTGTTTTCTATGTTGTCTCTGAGCTTTGTTATATTATTAGTATTGAAATAAAGTTTCGATATGTCGAGTGATAGCAGTGACTTAGATTATGATCCCGTAGATGACAGTGCATCTGACGAAGAAGATGAATTTTCATATAATTCAAGAGAAAGTGACGTGGAAGCCGAATGCGTCACTTTTGAAGGCTGGATTATCGTGCCACATCCTGAGGATGATAAACGGCTAACCGATGTGGTACAACCGACCCTCCACTATGATGTACATCCAGCTGTAGTCCTGGAAGAAGTGATGTCTCCAATGAAATGTTTCGAAACATTTGTTAGTGAGACAATTGTAACATTTTTATGCAAATGGACTAATGAACGTGCGGCAAAATATTTCCTTGAAAATATTGACAAAAATATGAAAGTACACAGATTACGTTGGCGTGATGTGACAGTTAGTGAAATGTACGTATTCATTGCTCTGGTACTTATGCAAGGCCTGATCCATTTACCACGCCTTAGTGATTACTGGAGAAAAGACTTTCTTTTGGCTGGACCCCAAGTTTTTTCCGCCACCATAATGAGTAGGGATAGATTTCTATCTATCATGAAATTTTTACGCTTTTCTGACCCTAAAGCCACCGACCCATCTAGACCCATGACCCGTTTGGCAATGTTCTTCGCTTTTATAAAGGAAAATACGATGATTGCGATTGATCCAGGCGAAACTTTTGCACTTGATGAATGCCTTTTGTTGTACAAGGGCAGACTACATTTCAAACAGTATATCAAATCCAAAAGATCTAGATTTGGAATCAAACTGTTTGCTCTGTGCCCTAGTGATCCCAAATTTAGAGGCTATACCTACAGTTTTGCATTGTACATCGGTAGAGACATATATAACGTTGCACACATTCCAGGAACTGATGCGCTTTCGATGTCTGAAAGAGTGGTTGTGTATATATGCTGTCAAACTTACTTGATGAAGGCCGTGAAGTGATCTTGGATAATTGGTACGTGTCAGTTAGGTTAGTTGAGTTCTTGTTGACACGAAATACTTACGTGACAGGTACAATTAGAACCAACAGGGGAGTACCGACTGAGCTCACACAACTTCAGTTGAAAAAAGGACAGTCGTGTTTTATTAGAAAGGGAGATGTACTGATTGTGCGTTATAAAGACAAAAAGGACGTTTATGTGATCACATCGAAACTGACCGCTGATTTCGTTCAGAAAGACCAGTATTCCGTTGTCGATAAACGCGTTATAGTATTACAAAAGCCAAGTCATGTGGATCACTATAATTCAAATATGGGTGCCGTTGATGCAACGGATCAGGACATGGAACCATACAGTGCAGCACGGAAGAGCTACGCCTGGTTCAAGAAAGTTGGGATCCACGTGTTACAGAGGATGGTACTGAATGCCAAAGTCCTCTACTCGGTTACAAACAAACGAAAAGTAGATATGAAAGACTTCACATTACAGTTATGTGATGAAATTCTTGCCAAACATCTTTCAGACTATACAGCAATGCGTGATCAACACAAAAACGCGAAAAGGCAAAAACTTAGTGAACCATCAACATCAAGGTTGGCAGGACATGAGCTCGTTCGTAGTGAACAGAACATGAGACGCAGATGCTGGGTATGCTACAACATTGAGAAGAAGCGCTCTATTTTCACGTATAAGTGTTGTATTGGATGTAAAAACCGCATACCATTGTGTTCCTTAGACCACTTTACATACTATCATGATAACCTATGAATATGTTATAAATCATGTAATAAAGTGTTCTTGTAAAGTTGTTTCATCATTTTTCACCGTTTTTGTCTTTTACCATTTCTTTTAAATAATATCCTTATGGTGATTCGTTTTTTTTTGCGAACAAAGCAAGGGAAAATATAGGTAAACTTCATCGAATGTTTGTAATTTTTCTACTATACGGCACTGAGAAATTGAGGTATATGCATGTATCCGGTCAAATACCCTACTCGTATAAAATTTTATGGCGGCCAAATGAAAATGATGCACATGATGCATCACCGGATTAAAACGCGAACTAGTATATACAGAAATGATGCAAGTGATGCATCACCGGGCTCAAGGGGTTAAAGACTTCAACCAAGAGCAAAGGTCCTATGGACCACTCTGACAGACAATGACGAATAGAAGTCATATGGTTGTTCTGTGTCTATCTCATCATAACAGCTATATAGCAGCATTATTGCTTGCACTAAAAGATGCAGAAAATAAATGGATGACACAAATCACTTGAAAATGGGGAGAATTCTTGCTTTGGAGTTTTGAGATACAATATCGAAATGTGTACAAATTTTCATTTAATATGACAGATAACACAATATAGTGTTCACCAGGTTACTTCACATAAGAAAGGGCATCCAGACACCAAGATCAGTACCTGTCCATTCTAAAAATTGGACTCTTTATTTGGTTTGTTAATTGAACTGGTATTATACTAAGCAAATAAAGGTATCTACTAAATAAATATAATAAATAAAAATACATACATTTTAAGTCAACAACAGCAAATAAATACTGTAGCTACTGAAATAATGAAATCTAGTCGTCATGCAAGGAAATTGCTGCCCAATAAACAAAGGACTAAAATGGATAATTTTTGGATCTTGAACAGATGAAAAGCGACTTTTCCTCTTGGAAATATTCTTATATAGAATTAGGTATAGTAGGCGTAATACGCAAGTATGACTCACCTTTTTTGGTAAATAAGTGCTCGAAATCAGCCAGCTGATTCTCTATTAACAATGCCTTTATTTCTGTTGAACGAAAAGAAAGGACCTCCTCCCAAAAATAAAGCAATGATAGGAGAATCAAAGAACCAGAAACAAAAATTAAAAAAACTACCGTGAATGTTTTGATCAAGGATACCATATTACAATACACTGGTGCCTTTACATTTTTGAAAAATTCTTGATTTCCGTTTGACCACAAAAATAAACAACACTAACCACCAGCACCTTGCTCATCATCAACAATGATCGAATATACAACAAATGAGAAAATTCAGTGCCGTAGAAAGCCAGGTGTTGCCAAGCTTATTTGAAAAATTTCTTTCAACAGTGGTCCCAACGCCCCAATCACTATCACTTTAAAGGCCCCTTTTTAGCGCAGATTCGTCTGCTTTGAAAAGATTTAGAGTGTTTGGTTTTGCCAATGTGGTGTATATGGAGCTAGAATCGTGAATCCCTTTTTGGCGCTTATTCAATGCCTATTCGAATTAGGTATTGATTAACGAATTCCACCTGAAGATACCCAATTAAAATAGGCAAGAGGCACCAAAAGGATGATTGAAGATCCTAGCACCATCTATGAGACATTAGCAGGACCAAACAGTCAAACTCTTATAGTAGTAGATTTTGAAATTCATCATTGTGTTCTCCTACTGCTCATAGATGGCGCTAGCGTAACCCATATGCCTGGTTAGAAAAAATGGCAACGGAGACATTGGCTGTTTAACGTGGCGCGCGCGCCTTCCCTAGTCACCCAATCTGCTTTCTAAATAAAACAGTGAGCAAGCACAAAATGAATCTGTAGCCTACTAAAACCCAAAACAAATTACAGCTCTGTCTGGCATTGACGGATCCGTCAGGTCAGCATTACGAAGGATGTCTTTTAAGTTTTGCATATGGAAATAAAACACCACGGTAGGTTATTTCATATGACTTTAATGTTTTTCGAAGCACTTATTCCACTCGTTTGCTGGCAGATCCAAACGGCATTTTTGAATGTGTCAACTGCTTCTTCTGGTGACTGGAACCTTTGACCACGCAGTCTGTTTTTAATTTTCGGGAAAGTAAAGAAATCGTTAGGACTTAGATCGGAACTATATGGAGGATGGTCCAATAATTCCACGTTTTCTTCCGTTAAATACTGCCTTGTTTTTTGGGCTGTGTGCGAGCTTGCATTGTCTTGGTGAAGGATGATTCTTCTTTCGGGGTTGATTTTTCGAAGCTCGGTGATGACTTTTGGCAAACAAATGGTGGTATACCAATCCGCAGTAACAGTTATTTGCTCATTAGGAGGAATTGTTGCAATATGACCCGCTTTTGACACAAATGTCTCGACCATCTTTTTCGAATCACTTCGAGAAAGGATGACTTTTGTTGGTTTTTTTCACCTTGGAACACCCAAACAGCCGACTGCCGTTTATTTTCTGGTTCATAACAGTAAATCCACGATTCATCACCACTAACAATGCTGTACACATTTTTTGAGTTTCCGGAATTGAAACGGTCAAGCGTTTTTTGACACCAATTAACCCTGGCTGCTTTCTGCTCTTCAGTCAACAGGTCAACGAGAAATTAATTTTCTTACTCCTAATTCCTCAATCTCGCGATATGTCACATGTCTATCTTCAATGATGAGTTTGCGCACAGCATCGACGTTTTCCTGTGTGACTGCCGTTTTTGGTCCACCCACCCTGGGATCGTCGCTAAGACTCACCCGTCCACGTTTGAATTCTGCATACCAACGGGAAATTGTCGACTGATGTGGCGCTTCGTTGACGAAAACAGACAGTAACTCAGCAAGGCATTCTTGTTGGGATAATTGACTCTGATGAAAGTTGTAATAAATTATGGCGCGAAAATGTTCTCGGTTGAGTTCCATTTTTCTAATGACTTGGTCACACTTAAAAATTCACTGTAGTGAGAACACGTATTGTTGTGAAACTTTGGATTTAAGTTTACTAAAGAGAGAGGTTAAGATTCAGTACTGATGTTCGATCCGCGCGACCTACTATATTTCTATATGCAAAACTTAAAAGACATATACACGTATGTGTCATATGTCAGTAGGGGAATTTTGAAATATTACTAGATAATCAGCTGTTATTCCACCGTAATGGATACTCGTGAAAAAGACAATATATCCTGAACGCAAATCCTGCGATCACTTGATAGGCGTGGCAACGCTGTTGGTTGCTTGAAACTGTCGATTGTCAAGTATCTGAACCAAAATGAAGGTCACTGTTGTCAGTGAAATGTCAAGGAATGTATTGATTTTTGTTGATGTGTAAGTGCAAAACTTAATTCTCTATTAATATTAACAGAAAAGTGATATTTTTCAATATTTCTTTAAGATGTAGATATGTATTACCATTTGTGTGATATCGGCGTCCCAAAAAATGGAATTAAAAGTGTGGGTGGAAGGTATTCAGAGGATTGTATGTGGAGTAACTGAAACAACAACTTGTCAAGTGAGAAATTATTGGAATTTTTCAGAAATATACTTTCTAAAATGGAATGTTATAGGACGTGGTGTTTGCCTTGGCTCACGCTACAGGAAAATCAGGAAGGTTTACTCTAATAGAACGATGGAGAAATAATGAGAGACAGTTGGCCCCAAATGAAAACCCATTAAAGGTATTTTTGGTACATGCCTCTCTAATAATTTTAAGAAGCTATGTCATTTAGTATATATCCCATATTAGTCAGTGGATGTTTCTAAATATCAGGCATGTTCTGTTATAATGTCTCAATGTGTACCTAACTATTTCTGTATAAGAAAGGGCCATACTAGCTGTACATGCCTTTCCATGATGACAATAGTTATCATTTACATAAGTAATTGCAAGAACTATTTGGTTTATAACCAAATACTGCATCCACCTATTCAAAAATTTCCCAGACTATCTGAGGGATATCACAAATTATAAGGGGTTTAAGAACAAAGTAAACAAATTCCTATACCAGAGCTGCTTTAATACTGTAGAAGAGTTTTTATCTTACAAATTTAAAATTGTCATTAACGTGTGTAGGTCTTTACTTCTTTTTATTTGCAATTTTTAATATGTCTTATATACCAATCATTTTTTCCTTCTTTGACTTGTCACTTGTATTAATTTATGAACTGTGATCAATAAATGTCTATCTATCTAATATAATTTCCTTCTAGCTAATTACAAAATGGGGAGAATATTCCAGTGATGTCCAGTTTATTTTACAAAGAAGTGATAACAATAAATCAGCCCAGCATTTAAAAAATAAACCACTCAATTTCAATTCGCCTCTAAATTCTCCTGTATCATCACTCCATAGCCAGAGTAACTCTGGATCTTCAGGATCACCAGACAAACTGAAAGATAGTTACAAGTTGTCAAACTTCAGGTAAACATGTATATTACAGTCTGCAGCCAGCTCCCTTGAAAACATGTCTAGTTTATTTGATTATGCTATATTTCCTATCAAAATTCCCATGTATGCTTAGGAAGCTCATCTTTATTTTCAGTGTAAATAATAATATTCTTGCATCAGAAAACATAGGCGTAGTGAAAGGTGTGCCACAAATAAGGCCATTAGAAGTAAAAGAATCTCTGTCTAATTCACCATATAGTTCACCTAAGAAGAGCAGCTACTGTGGCTCTGACACATCTGAATCTCCTAGTCATAGAGTAGCTCCACCATATAAAGATCCGCCTGCCCCTCCCCCCTACAGGGATCCCCCACCTCCACCTGCATATGACAGGAGTAGAAACATGACTCAGGTAATTATAACTTTTAAAATGACTATTTTATGTTTTATCTTTGAAAACCTAATTACACCATCATAGCATGGCTTCATGAAAGGTAGATCCACCATGTCAAACTTAATTACAATTATGCAATATATAAATGTTCCAATTTTAATCTCTCTGTCTAAATCTGTCAAAAACTGCTAATTTTGGAAAAAAATACGGGTTTTAAGGGGCAAAAGATGGTGACCTTGATTACAAAATTTAGCGTACTTTCAAGGTCATGTGATTATTTTCAAATGACATCGGAATTGAAAAGAGGCGCAAATTTTACACTCAAACGTACGTTGGGGGCTGTTCAAGTATTACGTAAGCAGATTTATGACAATTATTTACCCACCATCCCCCATGTCACCAAAAGTAAGCAAAGCTTTTACCCCCTCCCCCCATGCTTACGTAAACATTTGTCAATTAATGTATTGTTTTTTTTTTAATATTATAATTTTAACGTTATAATTATAATTTGAAAAATAAGAAAATAGATTTAGGATAGAAATTGTATTTTATTGATACAGTATTCAACATAAAGGACAAAAATATTATATCTTACTAACATAACAAACTTACTTTAAATTTTTGGTACATATATTAAATTCAAATTAACAGTCTTCACTTCAGTCCATGAAACCTGAATCCATGATTCTAAATTTTCGATGACATTGGATGCTTCGATTGCTGCTCAGTGTTGTGAGTTTGCTCGCTTTCATCGGATTTTGGAATGTCTGTGTCGTTCTCATCGAGCCATTCAACATCATGGTGCTCTAAATTTTAAATAATGCACATCGGTTCATTAGCACGACGAGCACCGACTCTTACAGGTCTAACTTTCCTATCAGTGTGCGTGTTTACTTTTTTATGGATATTTTCGATGTGACGATTTAGTGATTGACGGAAGCATGATAAAGACCACACGTTTTGCATGTTCGACTTGATTGCCTCAATTTTACCGTCGGACAAAAATAATCGTAGGGCATTTGCAGAAAATCTTTGAGTGAAGCACTTAAGCGTAGAGCTAAATTGACTGAAAGATTAAGAAATTGCCGTCCTTCATCCAAAACCAAGTCATTAACTGTTTGTTCTACTTTTACAGGTGGTGAAGAAACCTATTGTCTAGTAATCTAAATAGGCCACCTCTTGGATGACAGCATTCTGTATTTCTACATTTTACAATTTGAAGCAAGTATTGGCTCTCACGCACATGTTCTGAATACCATTTAATGTCTGGAAAATCAGGAAGATCTTGTTCACCTGCCCCAACATATTTTGCATTAACATTATAGCCATCAATTTCCATTGAACTCCATACTTCAGCTAATACATTTCCTGCAAATTCGAAATTAGATCTTTCTAAATGTTCATCAATTCAATCAATTGTGCATCGAGATCATGTCGCTTAAAGTGTTGTATAGCAAACTCTATGACTTTTTGATAACGTGGATTTTCATCTGGCCCTCCATCAACCATCATGATTACCACTGGTTTTACAAGTCCATGGTCAGTTTTAGCTAATGGTCAAAACTCGAGCTTTATCATCTTGAGATGAAAAATACTTGATCTGGTCCAAGTATGGATGCTATGTTATCTAAATAATGGATTGATGTTTCAGCGAACTTGCTATCTAAGTGGCTCTTGTGGTGATCAGTTTTCGACCCTCTGTAGAATTAGATTTTCTGGGAATCAAAGGAAGTTATGTCCTAATGCGACTAATGTCAAATCCTATTTTACGTAATTCTTGTGTGAGTTCATCAAGAGTTTTTATGCTGCGAATTGATTCCGTTCGTCTTCTATCATCTGCTGCACTCCCAAATAAAGCTATCTGAATCCCTCAGACATAGTCTTTTTTTTATTTCTGGATTTTCATGACAAATATCTTCTTTCTTTTCATACCATCCCTGTGTTTCTTCTGGGCAACTGCGTTTTGATCTTTCCTGTTTAAAGACTGTTTTGCTGTTTTTATTTCCTCGCGCAACTTAATGATCTGTTTATCAACTTCAGCACGGCTTGGCATAGTCTCTGGCCGAATACAAAGCATTCAGCTTTTTTTCGAGTAGAGCAATCTTATTTTTCATAGCTTCCTGAGAAGGTTTTGCTCTCAGTTTATCTGTATTTTCATTAATTTGGCATTGCTGTTGTGATTCATTACCGGGTTTTATTTTATCTTCTTCCTCTTTTTTAGTATTTGAAGCTGACTGTATAATTTGTTTTTTTCTGCAGGTTTACAGGTTGCCTAAAAATAAAAACTTTCTATGGCTTCTCCTAAAGATTCTCTTATTAAGCTACATAAATACAAAGTATGGCAATATATATGGTAAATACAAAACCCTTTAAATCTAATATGTTTAAACGAGCCACTCGTTCCGGTCACAAAATACAGGGTGTTAGTTTTCTGTATATATGTATAAAACTAACATCCTGTACTTTGTGACCAATTGACGGAATCAATCATAAGAAATAAATCTATAATATAATGAATCTATACTATATATATATATATATATATATCATCTATACTTTGAGATAGACCATAATATTTTCTAATCAGTAAAGAGAAACTTTTTGGCGATTTCTAATATTTCTAGTTCTACCTAAAATGATTTCGTCACTCACCTTAGAAAACAAATTTAGTAGATTGGATTTATTCTTAGTCGCCGCCTGCAATTCTTCTTCGATTCTCTTAGATACAATAATATCTAGTTCCTTGTCGGATTTTGCTTGTAATGCCACACTTCGTTAACTAACTTTTGTACATTTTGTACTTTCGTACTTGTATGAGATTTTTTAAAATTTTCAAACAATTTTTGGTATAACTTGGATTTGTCTATGTGAAAGGACATCTTATTTAAACATTAAACTTTGGCTAATGGAATCAATGGTAACACAAATGTTAACTTGCTTTACTATGCTTACAATACGTCTACTCGCTATAGTATCCAAACGAAACAATACACTGATAGAGGAAATTTAGACAAGTGAACACCGCGCGGTAATTCCCCTACTCGGTTCTAAAGCGAGTAGGGGAATTGCCGTGCGCTGTTCACTAAACGTATGCATTATTTGCGGGAATCCCCGAAATTGCGTTTCGTTTTCAAGCAAAGACAATGTGAGGGTTGCCATTCGTGTAAAAAAGTAAATAACTACCAATGACGTAATCATCATCTAGACTCCCCTATCCCCCATGTCATCCAAAATAAGCAAAGCAAAGGCCCCCCCTCCCCCCTTGTGCTCACGTAATATTTGAACGGCCCCTTGGACATGACTTTGACCATTTACTTCAAGGTCAAATCAAGGCTTTAAAAACAATTTACTCTAGCACAGTTGTGAGGTTCATAGGGATTGCCCAGACGTGACCTTGACCCATGACATTCAAGGTAATTTAAAAATTTCCAAGGCCAACTATCATTTGACCTCAAGCTAAAATTTTATTTGAGGTCATGGTCATATTCATGTGTAAAATTTTTTTCATTTCCAGTTTAAAAACGAGAGGCTTGGAAATTTTGACTTGACTTCGAAGGTCAAGGCCAGATTTGAGTGATCCCCACAAATCTCACGCCTGTACTGTCAAATCATTTTGCTTTAGCAAATTGTTTTTGATGTCCTGATTTCACCCCGTATTCAACATCGCAATGGTCAAGGTGATGCTCAGACATAAAGTTTGTTCCTCTTTTCAACTGTAATATTTACTTGACCTTGAAGATCTTAGTCAAGGTCATCCACGTGTCATACTCATTTGACAAATACTTCTAATACATCTAGTAGGCTTGAATTGAACTGGCAAATAACCCAGTGAAACTGAAAGTGGGGTGTTAATGTTTGTTGATTTTGTTTTCCTTAAAAAGCCTTTTTCATTACGTTCCAGATTTTAGAAATGGTCAAGGATATCTTCAAGACAAGCTACTCCTAAATTATTCCTAAATCGTTTTCAAATATTTTGAATAATAATTTTCAGTTGTCAAACTGAAACAATGAAGTTAGATTTTTTATCATTGTTTAGTTAAAAAGATAAAACTTACATCTTAACGGGGCATTGCAGCCAATAATAATGATTTCCCAAGTTAGTTAAGGGGAAATACTATTACAATTTCAGGATACAAAGACTACAAAAGAAAAGGATGATCCAAAAAAGGATATGATATACACTGCCCAGTATAGAGAACTGATAGCACTAATCAACTATCAACGTGAAAAAATATCGAATCAACAAGCTGATCTCACTAAGGTAATATCATGTTTCTATTAAAATATAAGATAAATATATCTTTCTTTACCATCAAACAAAAGTGTATCAACATTCAAAGGATGTAGGAAGCACAGTCTATCAAAACTGCTCTATTAGTATTATTTATTTTTTTCCAGTACGATGCGGAAATAGTGTTCTTAGAAAATAAAGGAAGGGAGAAACAAATGCAACTTGAGTTCATAGAGAGGGAAATTATTACCATTTCCACAATTAGTAAAAATAACCAGGATCAAGTAAGCTTTTATATTATTTATAATTTTACAGTTTGAAATGTCATACTAGTGAAATAAGACAGCACATCCAATGCTGTCTCATTTCAGTAGACCTTAAATCCTGGATAGAGCTTTCATTCATTGTCCTGCCTGAGACCAAGTCTAGGCCATACTGATGAGTTTCAAAAAAGCAAGAAACATCTGTCTATGGTTGGCCGTTTGTGGTCGGACGGACGAAAGCTTATATCATCCGTCATTTTAGATCCAAGCTTTAAGCTATGTGGAGGAAGAATGTGAACTTGTAAAGCAACAAGAAAAAACACTTCAGTCCGAAATCACATTGCTAAGATCGAAATTGGCAAATTGCGAGACTGAGCTTTTACAGTGCAAAAATAAGATAAGGTTTGTATAGACACCTTTTAAAATTCGGAATTTGAATCCAGTACTATCTATATAAATGTCCCATTTCCTCTAATACGTTATCAATGTATTGGCATATCACTTGTTAAAAACCTTTCTATATTAAATCCGTAACGGTAATTTATACGATAAAATGTGTTTGTTATTATATTGATAGGTTATTAATGGATGAACTACACGCAGAGCAGCGAAATCAAACTAGAAGGAATGAATCGCTGAGACAGCTGGAGAGAAATTTTCTTGTGGACGTTGAACGGTTACAGAAAGATATCGAGATTGCAAAGCAATCGACTGATCTTCATCACGTCACTGCTGAAACGCTCAAACGAGAGGTACATACCGTTAATGCTTTTTAATTCTTATTAAATAGAATCCGTACATACAGGGTGTGCCAACCGTGAGAGGACTCAGTATTGCTCCAAATCTGGGGGTTTACAAAGAAAACTATTTAAATTTATGGTATCTGAAGGCATATCTCTAAAATATTCACAAGTATACAGAGTGTCCCAATTTTGACCCACATATCGAAGTTGATTTTTCTGAAATGTAATGCTACTTTTTATTAAACATTCGGATATATTCAGATTGATATAACATACTTATGGATTTTGATTATTAGTTGTCGAATTATCGGGTATTTTATATAAAAAGCATCAAAGTTTGACAGCGTCCATATCTTCCATGTGGATAAGTGGAGTCGTGGATTTTGTGTCAAATTTTATTTACTTAACTCAAATTCAACCTGATAGAACCATTTTTCGAATTTTTAGAATGGTCAATACAGGGTGGTGAAAATCGCAAAATTTTCTTTTTCGAAATAAAATGGAACACCCTGTATATTTTTACACTCTCGGACCACGACTAAGGCCCGTATCGTCAGTCGTCCCTACAATTGTAGGGCGCGTTTATGGCCTCCTTGATTGTCATACTCTTTTCTCTCCTTCAAAAATTTCTAGATTGCACCTGTTCTGTGTCAGCGTCAGCGCTCTCCTATTGTTAAGATATTTTTTCTTTTTAAATTGTAGGAAATATCAGGCTGATAAAACATGAAATAAATCAAAAGCATGCACAATTTGATGCAAATAGATATTTATGATATAACCTCAAAATAGAGCGCTGACACGGAAAATTAGAAAACTATGACAATCAAGGAGGCCATAAACGCGCCCTACAATTGTAGGGACGACTGACGATACGGGCCTTAGCCCCGTTAGCGCTTCTTAATTGTTATTAAATAAAATCGGCACATTCAGGGTGTGCCAACCCTAAGAGGGCGCAATATTGCTCCAAAACTGAGGGTTTACAAAGAAAACTATTTAAATTTATGGTATCTGAAGGCATATCTCTAAAATATTCACAAGTATACAGAGTGTCCCAATTTTGACCCACATATGGAAGTTGATTTTTCTGAAATGTAATGCTACTTTTTATTAAACATTCGGATATATTCGGATTTATATAACATACTTATGGGTTTTGATTATTAGTTGTCGAATTATTGTGTATTTTATATAAAAAATATCAAAGTTTGACAGCATCCATATTTGATATGTTGACAGGTGGAGTCTTGAATTTTGTGTCAAATTTGATTTACTCAACTCAAATTCAACCTGATACAACAATTTTTCGAATTTTTAGAATGGTCAATACAGGGTGGTGAAAATCGCAAAATGTTCTTTTTCGAAAAAAAATTGAACACCCTGTATATTTTTGCACTATCGCATCCCGACTTTCATGAGAATTTTTTCAACAAAATAATATTGATATAACATACTTACCGGTTTTGATTATTGGTTGTTGACTTAATAGGTATTTTATACAAAAAACATCAAAGTTTGACAGCATCCATATCTGATATGTTGACAGGTGGAGTCTTGCATTTTGTGCCACATTTAATTTATTTAACTCAAATTCAACCTGACACATCTGTTTTTCGAACTTTCAGAATGATTAATACAGGGTGGTGAAAAACACAAAATGTTCTTTTTCGCGAAAAAAAAATAAATGGAACACCCTGCATATTTTTGCACTACCGGATCCCGTCATAAAATAAACGCTCAAACGCGAGGTAAATATCGTTAGCGCTTTTTAATTGTTATTAAATAGAATCCGTACATACAGGGTGTCCCAACCGTGAGATGAATATTGTTCCAAAACTAAGGGTGTTCAAAGAAAACTATTTATTGATTATCATATATGGATTCTGAATGCATATTTCTAAAATATTCACAAGTATACAGAGTGCCCCAATTTTGACCCACATATCGAAGTTGATTTTTCTATAATGTAGTGCTACTTTTTATTTTATTTTCTATTTTAGGTTGCCAGCTTAGAGACTGCCATAATAGAGAAAAAGAAGCAAGTGGAGCACCTAGTCGCAGAAATGAAAGAAGCCAATCTGATGAGTCTGAGCATCGCCCCGCCCGAAGATGTCAGGCAGATTTTGGAGGGCAGCAAGGGCGGCAGCACCAGGAAAATGATCGGCTCGCCGAGACAGCTGGAGAACGCAGTACCGACTAACAAAAACCCGCACGGGGTGTGGGTGTAGGCCATTGTAGATTAGCTGAATTTCAATATTGTATTCGATTCGTTTACTATGTTCACCGAGTCTTGAATGGAAAGGCTTGTCGTTGTATTTATGGAGACAGTTTGGACTAGCAGTTTTGCAAGAAGAATAAATTGGAGCACTTTTGGCATATACAATGAAGGAATGGAACAGAGGACCAGGAAACCGCCGTATATCCAAATAATACAGAGTTAAACACAAAGGGCACTGGGCCAAAAAAAGATTGTGCCAAGATGACGGAGACAATACCAATGGTGGCTGAAATTTTGGATGCACTCATTGATTGCCTGCGGTAAAGAATATACCCAAACAGTTAGAAAAGGCAAGGTGTTGCTGCGTACGTGTCCGGAAAGCAAAGATGGGAAGTGGAGTACTGATGTTTCCATACAGTGTTAATGATGTTAGGCAAATATTGTTATTTAAACATATTTTAAATTAACGTAAAATCTGAAGCTTATCCTGTGGATTTCATGTCGATAATCCCCCATATTTCTATAGCCAATGGAAAAGTAATTTTAGATATTGAAAGCGTTTCGATTACAATGCAATGGTGACCTTCTTCAGTACCATGACTTTGAGAACATTCTTCCAGGTGACACTTCGTTTGTTTTTTCTATTCATTTTCATATTCCTATACTGTGTCTGACTGAAATAATGCGAAAGGTCCCGTAACATGCGGAGTATGCCCGACAGGCAAGCATGCGGTTATGTCTCTTTTTTTTAATAGGCCGGATACGTCACCCTCGTCCATCGTCCCGAAGACTCCAAAAGCCCTCAAAAACGCGAATACCCACCCAGAACTGTTGTCATAACACACCGATTAATTGTTATGTGATCTTCGACTAAAATGTTGTAAAGGTTGGATATGAAAGGCCAGAAATAGTACTTGACATTTAAAGTGGACCATGTTGTTTGTCATGTGAGTAAATAGTATAAGACAACAGTTTGGCCTTGAGATGGTGAAATAAAACATCACATCAACACATGTGATTTCGATTGGCCAGAGAAATACGGCGGATTATATTTGAAATTCTTTTTTTTATATCCTTGTTTGTGATCCACAATATCCTAAACTTACCCAAACCTAAACCCTCCAATCCACCCTTCCCTATACAGGGTCCAAGTTAAGTATTTTTTCTGACTTTATTTTATGCAATATCAAAGAACTGATGAAACTTTTCGATTGGCACTTTTTATGTACATGTTATTAAATTTTGTGCCCGACGGTTGGTTTTTGAGAAATTAACGTTATTTTTCATATAGTCCAAAAACAGTACACTCTGTATCTCATAGCATTTTTTTATACAAATTCAACAATGTATCACAATTATTTCTTGGTTACACCCTGTATATACCAAGTTTACTGCACCTATATTACATAACTTAAAAGGTGACTTATTGATTTTTCTGACACATAGGTTTACCTATAAAATGGCACCTTTGAACTAGTTGACACTTCATGCTCACTTGTAATAATAAAAACGTTTATTGAGAAACAACTCAAAATGAGAGGATATATAAACACTTTTCAACCCTTCCATAAACATAAGTCAAAAATAGCTAAATTGAAAAATTTTAATTAATAATAGACATCAGCCAAATATAGTTAAATTATAAAATACGAGTATATGAAAGTACATAACTACATTTAAACTCTATTTATGGACAATATTTAGAGAAAAAAATATAAACATAGAGGACAAAATTGTGTAAACTATTGGCCATAACATAACCGATAGCTTTATTTTCTGCGACATTAGGTTTTGTCTGTTTTTTACATAATGCCCCTGCCCGAACTCGGTCATTGACCCAACGATGATAGATACCTTTTTAAACAACTCATATACTTATACAAATAAATAAAGATGAATGGCGTCAAGTAGGTTGATTCTACACTTCCCACGCTACGTTGTTATTAGTACAGCACAAGTTAGACTGTATCAAAATACGACAATGCATATACCTTATGTCCTGAATAAAAAATATTTACTATTTTTTTGTTCGGTATCCAGAGACCATGCTGAGTAGGCAAAAAAGCACGAAACAGCTCTGTGGTTGAAATAGAAATTTTTTACTCCTAAATTTTTCATTTTGAAACGACAAAACACGAAGGTTGGGCGTTTTTATTTTTTTGGCTTTTTCCCGAAATAATTGTAAAGTCTGGATTAACTGGTGAGAGTTGTTCCAAAGGGTATTTAAAACATGGACGCATAAAATAGGTACAAGAATTTTTGTGGGAAAACTTTTTATTTGCCAACAAAGAATGTGAAACGTGTTTTCTGAGATTCTTGAAATTCTTCAAATTCCCCCCCTTGAACAACTTGCACATAACAAAACCAGACTTTACAAGTATTTCGCAAATCAGGGGTATTTTCGTCTAATATGACTAGACCTCATTTACGAAATTCGTCGCCAGTAAGCGTGGGAAATAAAACAAACACAAGTTCAGAGAGGTGAATAACTTTTATTGAACAACATCAACTTTAAAATATGCATCACGCACCCGGTTAACATATGGTACAATATACTGGAATAACTTTCCAACTACATGCTACCTTTGATAGCTATTTTTTGTGTTAGATAAAAATTAACAATTCCATCAACAACAGCAAAAATCCATTGTCGTTCTCAACCCTCACACAAAGTTGAAGATATTACAGTGAATATTTGCCAAGTTGAAGCGTCTCTGAAATTTTGAAGAGTACATTAGAAGCGCGGGAAAACCAAATAAGCCCTTTTGGTTCTCATTTTGTTTTCCATTTGTTATCCGATGTAACCTTGTCAAATTTTAGAAATGCATCAGTTTGTGCTGATAGCATCAAACAAACCTTCCTGTGCAGCACCCTTGAATGTACGAAGAAAGTTTGTCCAATGCCTGTTTGGAAAATAGTGGTGAGATTCCCTATTCTGTAAGTACATCCCAAAAGCAGATGAAGCACTTAGCACTAAGGATTATACAATATTAAGTTGATCTGTAACTATACACACAACACCTAGATTAAAGTATAAAGAACAACCCTTAATAAATATACAGATATAATTTTTTTTGTTGGTTTATAAAATATTTTTAACAGGAAACAACAAGCACAGTACATGTATATGAGCTCTGTAATTTTTACAATGTGAATACTAAAATCAACTTAAAAAGCTAATGACTAAAAAACATCCCAACTTAGACCTGAAATGACGTAGATGAATCCTTAAAGCTTAGGTATCGTGTATAAAATATATAAAAAATAAAAACGTAACAAAGCTGTTGCATAGCTAGCACCACACAACCGTAATCAACGGAAAAAAACGGAAACCCGAAAAAGTGATTTTACTTGTCTGATTTTAGAATATTAAAATTTGCTGAAACCGACTAGCACGAAATAACTACTAAAAAGTTAAACCTTAGTTGCTTACAAACAATTCTAAATTGGTCAGGTGTTAAGTTGGAATTTGCTGGCTTCTCTTTCTAAACATCTACCACCATCTTCTTATGGATGTCGGTGTTACCGACGACATTGCAGAATTCCTCGAAGGATATTTTCCCATCCTCGTCCTTGTCGGCGAACAAGATGGTCTTGTCCACGATCTGCTGGAGCTGGGTATCCTTCAAGTTATTGCCAACCATCATCTTCAGAACCTGGGGCAAAAATAAATAGAGTCCAGTTGAAAAATTTTACGATGGACAGAGTACATGTATCCGGTAATCGACCTCCTCGGTGCATTTCACCGCAAATCCGATTTTGCAGAGTATGAATTACTTAACCGGGAGACTAAGCTAACAAACCAAAAATCGATCGTGTTTTAGAAAAAAACTGTAATAAGTTGTTTTGCGTCGCAATTATCTCCTTAAGGGTATATGAAAAGGTCGCTCATCAAGAGATACAAAAAATGTTAGCGTATATTTAACTATTTAGGAATTACTGGTGGCCTAAAAAAAAGTTATAGAGGGTAAAAATACTTTCAAAATGAGATCCTAGATGGCCAATTTGTCGTAACAAATAATTTGTTATTACAAAAAACGTCAAAGATTGTCGGTTTCTACATGTGACGTTTTACTGGGAAATGCATAAGGTTAAATCTGAAATAAAAGCCAAAATTTAAAGCATTTGTGGTGCCTAACATCCAAAACAAGTTCATTAAAACATGCTGAACCGTTTCTGAAAATTTGTTATTGTTAATGTTTTTTGGAGAAAATTGGCCTTCTTTGGCGACTTTGGGTCAAACGGCCACATATTGGGCTCATTCACTTACAAGAAATTTCATGTAACACCGTATTGAAAGAGACACTAGATTTTCCTACCGTGACCATGTGCAAGGTATGTCGCAAAGGAATCGACTTTTGAAAGATACCCGATACAAGTAGCAATATCTATTATCGGAGACTACCGTTTCATAGGTACATCTTTCATTAATGCCCTGTCAAAATTTCACGACAATCGAACTACTTCACGCCAAATGAGCATAAAACGAAGAGCCAATATCAAGTTCTATGTTAAACTTGTTAAAACATTTAGCGAAACGCATCAGATGTTGATGCAAATGTATGGTGATGATTGTTTATCTTGAAGCAGAGTCCAAGATCCATTTACACGGTTCAAAGAGGGTCGTGAGTCGCTGGACGACGAAGAAGATGTTGGCCAGCTAAAATATGTGTTTACGCCAGAAACCGTCGAAAAAGTGCGAGCATTTTCTTTGTCCTGTTTGCTTTGCGTCAGACCTTGTATATATTTTTCCACGCCTTGTTTATATGTTCCCCAACAAATTAACGCACCATCAAATACGAAGTATTCAGCATATTCCTGTTGCAATTAGTAGCTTGATTTGTATGGCTTTTTACTGAAAGTAGACCGCCTTTTGCTGCATTACAAGTACCAGATACAAACTGAATATTGAATACATCCCTAGTTTGGAGATCATTCATCTCTAATCAATGCGCCACGCACAAACCCCGCAAAAATTAGGCTGTTTAGTATTACATAATACCGCAAATTATAACTTGAACGGAATAGAGTCATAAAACCACTACTAAAATAATGTTGTTTTGCCATCGGAAGTGACCATTACAATGGACAGACATTTTTCTTGACCGAGGCATGTTGGCAGCCGTTCAAGCCTTAACTGCCGCCTCGCCACTTCGATGACCAAAACACAATAACGGCTGGAAAATTTGAAGCAACGCGTTTTACGATTCGTCTGAGGTGGATTCCTATTTATAAACACGCGTCTTGAAAAAGTTGTAGCGGTATTAAAAGCGGTTCGATGATAAGGGGTCAGGGTGTTCACGGAGCGGAAAAGAATCAGTATAACGAGTATTTTGGAAGAAAAAATGAGTAAAACAAACAGTAGTTTCTCTGGCCATGTAACTCATATTCTGAAAGAAAATGCTTTCTTTCAACTCTTTATGTGTGTGAGAAAAGAAGGATTCATACTAAAGTGACAAAAGGTAACAAAGAATCGCTATCGATCAACAACAACCATGGCAATGTGCGATATACAGCAACCGCACGAACTTATTTGGCTACCTGATACATAACACACCTATATGATGTCTGATTACTGCTGAAACCTTAAAGGGATCTAAAACAGCCCCCTGATTCATTAATTTTATAAAAGACTTTTACTCCTCAACCACACTGTCTGTTTAAAATAATGTCTTACCTGGAAGAGCTCTCCGTTAGAGATGAACCCATCGTTATCCATGTCGTAAATTCCGAAGGCGAAACGCAGCTTGGACAGCTTGTCCCCTTTAACACTGAACTGGGATACGCCCTGTATGAACTCTGCAATGAAACACTTTTTCTAAGGCACCTTTTCCATGTATCGGTACCTTACACTGTCTACTCCATCGAGATTACTAAGGCTGAGGCCACACCAGAAGTAAGCTAGATGTCAGGATAATACAAACAATCAAGTACGACTAATGAATTTGGAATAAAATCAATATAAAAATTTTGATATTTACACAAAAATTTAATTATAGTAAAAAAGCGTGTGGTTCTTGATATTAAATGCTAGTATTATTTTTTAGTTGATATTTGCAAAATTGAAGTTATTATGATTATGACCGACCCACGTTTGTCTTTAGGTACTATAATTGAATTGTTTGTTAATATCTTAATTTGAATATTGATTTTAAAACAAATTCATTAGTCATACTTGATTGTTAGACTTTCTATTGCTGTAACACAAATTGTCCTATGCTTGAAAATTATTTTCCTCTTTTCAGTTCGATTTGTTATTAATGAGTTTTTTAGTGTTTTTGAACTATGATTTATTTTCTGAATTTATGGGCTCAAAACTACGAGAGTACTTATAATCGAGAGCTTCAATAATTGGTATACAGAACTATGGGATCAAACTTTTAGGGGTTTATCAGTGTAACAGTAGAAAACATTTGAGTATAGGGACCCAAATCCGGCGCTTGTGTGTTGTTATCTTTAAAAACGATAACAGAGATTGTTTTTTGTAGCTGCATTCCATATCGCCTTATTCGTGCTATCGTATTTGTGAAGTTTGCAAGAATTTAACAAAAATTAATTGTTTCTAATGGCATCCGGGATACAAAAAGTTTATTGCTATTCATCGGAGGCTCTCCGAGACATGTATGTCTAAAACCAACATGCATGATACTGATGTTGCTCGAACCGTAAGAACGGTCGAATTTGAAGAAGAGGTCCTTCATCGAGTTGCCGACGAACCGTCAAGTAGCACACGTCACATTGCTGAGGATATGAATTTGAGTAACGCTTCCGTCTGGCGGGCAACGACTTTATCCTTACCACTTCCAGAAAGTTTAAGGATTGACTGCAGCCGATTATCATCCTAGAGTTCAATTTTGTCAATGGCTTCTTTACCAAATCGCTGAACAACCAATTTTTTACGATATGTTTTATGGACCGATGAAGCCGCTTTCACAAGAGACGGTATTTTTAATAGTACGAATAGCCTCGTTTGGGACAAGACAAAGAAAATCCCCATGCAATTTTTCCTAGAAAGCATCAGCAACGTTGGTCTGTCAACGTATGGGCAGGCATTGTTGATGATTATTTGATTGGGCCATACCTTCTACCGGAACGGTTAACAGGACCTATTTACCGGCGTTTCTTTGAGGAAGTTCTTCCAGAACTTCTTGAAAATGTTCCATTGAGCAAATGCGGTTTCAGCATGAAGGAGCGCCGGCTCACTATGCTGTACAAGTACGTGAGTATTTGGCTCAGAGGTTTGGGCACCGTTGGATCGCCAGAGGTGGAGCAGTTTCTTGGCCTCCTAGGTCAACCGATTTAACGTCGCTAGATTTTTTCCTGTGGGGACATGTAAAGTCTTTGGTTTACGAAACTCCAGTAGAAACAAAGCAAGACTTAATTGGACGAATTACAGCAGCATTTGAAATCATTCAAAACGAGTATCAATTTTTAGTCAAGTCCGCCGAAATCATGTGCGACGTTTAAATCGGTGTATTCAGGTTGGAGAAAGACATTCTGAACAATTGTTGTGATGATATCATGTACAAAAGGCAAAAATTAAATGCATTAAATCCTATTTAGGCAATTCATCGCCTTTCTAAATTTTAACGCGTCTTAGGGCCGTAGTGACACTTCCGGATATATTTTTTTTATACTCCCAACTACCACGAAGGCCTAAAGCCCATGGGGTACCCTGGGGATACAGGAAAAAGGGAAGCGCCACACGGACTCTGGCGAGGGAAATGTGGGTCCCTATACTCAAATGTTTTTTGTTACACTGAATAACCCCTAGAAATTTGATCCCTTAGTTATAAAACACCCTGTATTTTATATCTGACAATAAATCTGAATTTTCTTCCAATTTTTTCCATTTTTTTAATTTCCAAATCTTCAAATTATTTTCCGAATTTTACAATTACTTGCAAATTTTCAAATCCAATTTAAAATAAAAATGAACAGGTAGATATATCTGAAAGTCAAAAAAGCAAAAATTGCGTGATTTTAATCCAATCGGAACTTTCCAGGTTATATAGAAGTTATGAATTAGCGGACAGACAGGAATGAATGATATGTTCGAACACAAACCATGTCGAACTTCGTACATCCAGATCTGGCCGATACGGCCGCTCCTTTGACCCTATCGTATCTTGATTTTGGAACAATCTACATGAGACTTTTAATAAAGTTTTGATGAACTGAATTAATTAATTTCACCGCATTGTACGTGAAAGAGCGTTGGAATATGGCGACCTCTTGATATCCTGTCATCGCACCTGAGGACCTAACGTGTTATCGTGTCGCTAACTTACCGCCTCCGATGACGCATCAGCCTTAGACACTCAATAGCTTCCTTACTGCAAGTCAGAAAGCACATGTTCGGGACAGGTAGCGTATTCTTACTGTCAGTACAGTGCCATGCCGACAAATGGGAAAGTTGCCTAAACACCTGGATCTACCAAACAATCAAATTTTAAACTCCGGCGCGCGAGATTCGGTGGCTGACATGCCATACGGCCGATAGGTTTTATTTTTAGAAACCAATTTTGACATTCTGTAAACATTGTGGAAAGTTGGAAATTGTGTATTGAAGGTGTACTGGTGAATGTAACCTGTGTACATATTAGTTAAACAACTCATAATTTTGTATGACGAATGATTATAACAGATACCGTCTGGTTATTAAGAGATTATAGTCCAGGGTCCCAAGCCAGGGTTGTCAAACCGAAAAAGACGAAATCGGTGGATGGTATCGTTTAAAATTCGGTAGTTTTTTGAGGGCATCTTATCCTGAAAAAATATCAACTTCTTTATTACAATGAGGATACTATTTTGCAACCATCCAGGAAACTCCATTTCCAATGTTTGTTTATAAGAGTTTTAATAGATTTCTGTTTATCCTGGCACTTGAAGCATCATCACCTGATATTTTAATTTAATATTCAATTACAAACAGGTGAGCTTTGGTATCTTTATTGCTTGTCCGGTGATGCGGTAATGATGGTGAAGTTTAGCACCTCACCTTACCCAAAATAAATATTATTTGTAATAGAATATGTACTTGTTGTATGCACAAAAACTAATAGGCAAGCCAAATCTAGGCATAAAACAACATAGACTACATATAATTATTTTTTTAGCCTTATTTTTAGTTTCCGCTCTTTTATGGTAAAAAATTGAAAATATCTGAATTTTGAAAAATCGTGGATACGAGGATCATTTCGGCAAGGTCTCATTTCGGTAGAAATACAGAAAAATCAGTAGCTTTGGCAACACTGGTCCCACGCATCAATGAACGATATTCACCTGCCTCCAAATACAAATTAGTAGGTCATAATTCAAGTATGCTCCTCAAAATGGTACCCATTGTACTTAATTTTTCAACTATTCGAGCTAGCAAGTTGAAATTTGGTATGATGAAGTTATCAACTATTAACGTGAAGATGCAAGTTGACGGTTAGATGCATTTTGGCATCTTTTAAACGCAATGGCGGTCATGTGATATCTCATTTTCCTCCTTATAAGTACCTTATATCCCTAGAATATAAAATCACTAACTTCAACGTGGCTGACTGCCAGGCATTTAAGTGGGATATTTTGATTTTGATAAAAAAAAGAGATTAACTGTCTGCAGACAAACTACAACGCCAGCTCCATAATACTCAAACACTTTTACCCACTACGCATCTTGGGATTCAACAAAAGTTTCTGAAATCTCATGTATACCTAGAATGTGTATTAAAATGTTGATATTCATCTGCTTTCAAGCTCTTATTTTTATTGTTAATAGCAAGTAGACGGTGGAATAGTATGTGGAAAAAACAGACAAAACTGAATCTTAACGTTAACTAATAAGGAACAAAATTCATTTTGTTTTTAAAGATTTCGAAGCTATGACAGCAGGGGTCAATTTCAATGTAAAATTGTCATCATTGTTCTTGAGAATCATCTCTATAGAACAGTTAGAGCCAAAGTTAGTCCTATAGAGTTATATAAAAGTTAGGAAATATGCATATGTTATTAGTTTTAGCAATGAATTTTCAAAAGGCTTGCAATGATTGAATCCAGTTGACTACACAAATTGGCAAAAAAATTCACTTAATTCTATGCGTCAAAACAATTTGGTTGGTGAAAGAAAATGAAAAATAGAAGAACTTCAACCCACACAACATCCACGCATAACTGTTCAAGTGTCAAAGTAGACCTATTAATAACAACAAATCCAGTTGCATAACAACTGTAACCAGTCTAATAATTAAAATTTATTGCCCAAAAAAAACATGACCAGCGCGACCCTGACTTTCACACCATTCATAATCAGGTTATATGGAACCAAAGTATTTAATGTCTGTTGGTGAATACATACTTCAAAGATTCCGATTTTAACTACCATAGCTTAATTGATTTTGTATAAATTATTAGAAAACAATCAACAGTTGCACACATTCAGTTTCATCACTGTTTCTTGTTGAACAAGGCAACAATGATATAATTAATGAGGATAATGATAGCCAAAAATGAATGAAATTTGGAATGCATTGCACTCTGATTAGATGAGAATTTTAATCAATCTTGGGCAACAACTGATAATGCAGTACTCAGATCAATTTACATTTCAGAACCCTGTTATCACAAAAAAGACAATATCAAGAAGACTTATGGAACTGTCAAGTAAAACATGTTCAAAATACCAGCAAAACTAAAATAGCTTTTCTGGGAGTTTGACTCCTAGCGTACTTTAGGATTTTTTCCTTTTTCATAATCAAATACTATGTCCCAAATTATCAAGCATACCAATTTTCATATATTTGTAACAGTGAGAAACAAAGATGGAAATTTGCACATCAAGTGCCAATATTTTTTTTTCAAATTTCCTGTGAAACTTTCAAAAATGCACTTGTGATCTAGTTGAAACTGGTCTTCCAGCTAAATGTGTAGCTTCCAAATTTGGCATTCATTTTATGATAGCACCAACAGAGAGAGCTTTGTGGCTCAATTTAGTGAATGTAGAAAAATTCTATTCTATTGTATTTGGTTGCAAAACTTATCAAATATGATAACCACAACCTCCTCAATGTTGTCAAATTCACTTCTGAGCACTTTGGCATTAACTGAGAGATGCTTGCATAACCATAAATTGGCTAGGAATACACTATTTATATCACAATAAATGTTATATCCTGTAGGATTTAATACTGTTTAAACACTTACAAAATATATGAATCACCCATTGTTCAGGACCTATTCTTGACTCAAAATATAAACACACTGTTACCTAAATATTTAGAATTTGCCTGTACTAAAAGTGAAAAAATCTTTGAGGATTATTATAGATATAAATATATATATAATAAAAATAGGAACAAATATAAATTGTTTTATTCAAAGTCTTATGTCTGGCAGCAAGGTATCCCACAAGTTATGTTTAGCACTTTTAAAAACCTCTTGTCAAAAAGTCTTATGGAGAAAATATTAATGTAAATTTTTATTTATAGAAAATTAAAAACAATTGTTTTTTGAAAAATGAAATATACCTCCATCAAGTCTTTATTTTTCATCATTCAAATGTAATATATGATATAACTGTACAGAAATATATTTATATAAGAATAAATATACATACAGGAACAGTAATTTCAAAATTGTAATTGAAAGTAATGCAAGTGTGTTTTTCTTTTGGACTGTAAACACGTGTGAAAAGTGACTAGCAAGCCTTGCAGTAGAGAATGAGACAAGTCACTAAATTCTAAGTTACATTAGATGTTCATACTATATTGGTCACAAGAGCCTCAAAATTCATCCAGTAACTTTGCTGAACTAAGCAGTTCAAAAAAGTATTCAAATAATAAATATTCCAAAACTACAAATCTAAGACTGATTATAACATTAAAAAACATGCAAGGTTCAGAAGACATATCAACTTTCATAATGGCAAAGCCAAAAACCTGTGACTAAACTGATAATTATCGCAACTTCAGTTCAATGAATAACAGTATATCAATTGTAAAATAAAACAAATGACAATCACTTCACTTTGCCAATTCAATACTGCCATAACTGCAATTTCAATACTGTTGGAACTGCAAGGTCATTTGGCAGTCTTGAAATGTATGTGCAACTTGTTATAAATCCCTCACGAATGACGGTGATTTACCTTTGAAATCCACCTCTCCATTCCCATCAGCATCAAATATATCAATGACACGTTGTACCAAGGGGTTTTGCTGCAATTCTGGAAGAGACATAAACTCGTCGATGCTCAGGGCACCCGAGTTGTCTAGATCCAACTTCCGAAATCGCTTCCCAAGACGACGGATCTCATCAGCATCGACTTGAAAAAAATTATAAACATTAGTGGTTCCCAAGGGCCCCAGCAAGAAAATATGGATATACTTACAGTTTGAGCATAGCTCCATGGGCAGGGAACTTTCGTTACCCTAAAAAGCATGGTTACGTTAGTAATTTTAGGTCAGGGCTATGGAGAAAATCATAAGGGTAAGCGAAATGGGCTTGCCCCTAAAAAGTAGGCTACCCCGAACGTTTCGATTTTGTTTCACGAAAAACAAATGAATATCGATGCAAAGATATGCTACCGCGTTAGTAATCGGTAATAGTTCAAGGATATTTACCATGGTTTGCTCTTTGAATTAACAGCAAAAGATATCAAACTTTTTCTTGTATGCACGACGGACGACAAATAATTTACTGTAGTACGGAAAATCTTCGTTATCCGATGGTGGCGCTGCAGGTCCTAAAATAAAATAACCAGTAACAACCAACGGAAAACTTTAACGATGCGGCGTTGTCAGAGTCTCGGATAAATACTGCTTTCTCGTACTTTCCCTTACAGATAAAACATTGCGTTCTCTTGGTAATATTGTTTTCGTGTTCACAGAAGAGATTATAATCCAGCGTAAGCATGTCAGCTGTGGAAATTGTATGATAGCAGAATATTTGAAAAAACATTTTTGATTTTTGGTTGTTGAATTATAAGCGACATCATGTACCAAAACGCGCAACTTTGACAGCATGCCAGTTCGCCCCGTCATTAAGGATGGTTTATTTTATGTCCTAGGATTACAATATTTACTCAAAAGGTGCTTCAGAATGCGGTATTATACGACCCTCCACTATATTTAAGAAGATCTTTTAAAATGGTGCCCGGGTGCCATCGTAAAATGTTGCATCCATGCATTAATTTCATTACCCATAATTTCCAGCTTGAGTTAAAAAAAATAATAAGTAGGAGAGAGGCCTTTTTGTAAAACCAGTGTGTGTATATTATACACAAAGAAAGATGCCTCAATTTAAACATACACTTTATTGATTTGCTTATTTCTTTGTATCCAGTCAAAAATGGCGTAGCCATATAATATCAGCTTCATTTTTAACATACTTGTCCTTTAAGAAAGGTAAAATAAAAAATGAATGACAAAAATACGCCGATTTTTCCGGAAACTTACATGTGAATCGTGCGGGGCCTTTTGAACCTTTCTCTACAAAAAATTTTAAAAAACTTTTTCAATACCTGCTTTTCCGGTGAAAAAGTACGTATCAGCTAAGAATAATTAGCGGATTAGCATTGGCAACACCGCAGGGGCGCAAAAGGAAAACTGGCCAAAATCATACTTTGCAAACTAGAGGTTTCCAAAAAATATGCTTCCGAAACATTCTGTGTTTATAGATCATGCTTTGTATTTCAGAAATCTCTTAACAGGGTAAAAATCCTATCCTTTTAGGGCAGCAATTGTTTTTATTTCTGCAGGGTACGTATAGAATGTACGTTCAATGTATGTAATTCCCCTAGGATAGTCTAACTCTAGCGCAGTGCTACAAGAATAATAAACTATGTTCCTTTCCGTATTGAAAGACTAATCATTTCTCAGTTCTAGTAGTGAAAATTGAACTGAACTATCGAGTGTCCTAGTTGAATACTTTTTGAACTCCACCTGTATTATTTTATGGATTAGTAGTGTGTTCAGCATTATCTTAGTAATAATAACAATACACCTCGCTGAGGCGGGTATGTATTTAACCGCTTAATTTCGATTGAAAATTATATTTTAATGTGAATGCATTCATTTACCATGTAATCGAGCTCAGCTGAGGTTGCAAAACGTTAATTGTGACTCGATTCCAACATTCGTTGGCTGACATTTATCTTGATCGATTGGTGAACGTACCACCGGTGTGTCATTTGTTTTTTCCAAGCCGACCAACCCTATTCTGTTTTTTTATACAAATTTATACAAAAGCAGTTGCTAAATAAATAAAAAATTAGCTAAAATTTATTGTAAATAGGTGTGTTATATTAAAGAAAGCAAAAGAAATCGGGACACTACCAAATAAGAATTTTGAGTGCTGTGTGTTCACAACATACTCCCCTTTTACTTTTGAAGCTGATTAGCATATAGATATATGAATCTAAACTGAGCCTGCAACGATGGCCTGGAGATTCAAAGCAAGCAAATACAAGAATGCAGCACCTATTGTCCCTAAACCAGAGAACTATGTTCGTGATATTTGTGTTGGCTCCTATCAAACCTATGGAAACAACATAGCAGCTTCTGCTATGTTCATGGCATTTAACTGGGAACATGCAGGCTCTAGTTTGGCTGTGTTGCCCATCAACGATTTTGGAAGAAAAAGCAAGCTTATGCCTTTACTTCATGGCCATACTGATACTGTTACAGATATGGAGTTCTCTCCTTTCCATGATGGCTTGCTCGCTACTGGATCTCAAGACTGTTTGGTGAAGATTTGGCATATTCCTACAGAAGGGCTAGAGGTATGCAATATCTACGCTGTTGATTTTTTGTAATTCATATGATAAAATCTTTACCAGCATCGACAAGGTGTTTCCAAAGTGACTGTCAATATTTAAGGCCGCGATTTTTGGACTCCCTCCTATGGACATATCTCCTAAAGCTCTTAAATTTTGAGATACAGGCTGGTAGTTTTCAAAAATTAATCATTTAGCATGCCACTAATTTTTCTTAAAATGAAGAAAACAATGAAATCCGAATTAATTTATGAGCAGATTTGATCTGATTTTTAAGTTTGATGCAGGGTTTTCATCAAAAAAATAAAACATATTTCTGTGCATGGTGATATTGTCAGGCAGAGAACAGGTTTTTATTTTTCTTTCAAGAATAATTTTTACTTTAAAAGAAATCAATGGCAAATCATGCCACTGATGGTGAAAATTAAAAAAAATGTGGTACATTCTGATTACCACCTTTCCCAGTTTAACGTTTACACCTGTGAGGGATGGTTTATTTAGGACATATAGGTACCCCGTGGATGCTATGCGACACAGTAGTGCATGGAAATTTAATTCTGTTGTGGTGTTCTTAGCCTAATTCAACTTGCTTATGAACCTGGCAAAACTGCATGTTTTTATTCCAGGAGTCTTTGAGTAACCCAGAATGCACATTTTCCCACAAACAAAGACGAGTAGAAATGGTGGGGTTCCACCCTTGTGCAGACTTCTTGCTACATTCAACTTCATACACCACCTTGACACTTTGGGATCTAATCTCTGAGCAAGAAATTTTTTCCAATGCAGACCATACGGAAGTGATACAGTCAGTCAGCTGGAAAAGAGATGGAACATTATTGGTTACTTCATGCAAGGTAGGATATCTCTACTCCTGGAGTTTAACAAAGCATTTATAAGTGTGAATTTTGTAAGGATTTCAGAAGAACCAAATAAACTTGTTCTGAAATGTAAAATATAGCACTCTAAAATAGTTTATTTGACAAATGATGGTTTCTTCTGGAGCTGACTGCTACTAACTGTGGATCATTCTTAAGTTTAAATAGGAATTTGGTGTATTCATAGTTTCAAAAATTTGTTATCAGAATGATCCAAGAAGCTGTGAAACTGGCAATCTTTGTAGAATTGAAAAAAATATGTTTTCATTTGCTGTATACAATATAAAAATTGCGAAAAATTATAGTGTTATACACAATTTTTTTTAATACATACTAAGATTATGGGAAACTCTATAGAAGTAATTCATCTTTTTCAATATTTTTGAAATAATGTATTCATAATGTTCATGAAACAGTAGCATACTATGACCTAATGTTTTTTGTTTTTACTATCCAGGACAAGCAGTTGCGCGTTTTAGATCCAAGGACACAGCAGTCTTGTCTAAAATCAGCAAATAGTCATGCAGGAATTAAGGATTCTAGGGTGGTATGGCTTGGAGAACAGGACAGGGTAATCATTCTAATATTTTGTCTAATAAAAGGTACATAATTTGGGATTCAATTTTGGCGCCTTTTTTCAACAAATTGACTTCATAAAGAGATCCTGAGCTTCACTATACAATTTATAGAACAATCATTGTGGAAACAGCTAAGGGTAGCACTTGGAAAATTTTATAAGTTATTTATAATAATTGTCATACTTCTGCAAGGTCTATAAATGAAGTGATGAGACTGGCAACGTAGCGTTCGATATGGCAACACAGGAGGCGCCCGGCCTGGAGTGGAGACAGGGGAACATGTGATCCGCCTGCAGTACACGTTTGAACTCGCTCGAGTCATTTGGTTGCCCTTAGCGATTTTGTTCGTAAAACAGTTTTTCCTATTGTTCTAAAAACGGGTGACATCAATTTGGAGCAACATTGTGCTATCAGGTTTGGCTTTAGACTTGGGCACAGTGCAACAGAAGCTCTTGCTAAACAGGCCTATGGAGATATTGTTTTGTCAATAGCCCAGGTTTTTCAGTGGTTTTTAGAAGAGAAAGAGTCACTTGAAGATGAACATGATGCGAAAGGCTTTCATCTTCAAGAACCAATGAAAATATCGACAGAATCCGGGATTTTGTGCGTTCAAATCATCGGTTGACAGTCGGAATGATCGGGGAAGAATTAAATTTGACTCACACCTCCTCATCCTCCTCATTCGCCTGACTTGGGCCCTTGTGACTTTTTTCTCTTCCTGAAGTTGAAAAATGGCCTCAAGGAACTCATTTTGGGACAGTCAGAAGTGTGGCTTCAGAAGGAAGTTATTTTGAGGGTTACTATATAAAATTGCAATTATATGTGATTGAAATAATAAAAAAAATCAGTCTCATCACTTAATCTACAGACCTCGTATATTCAGATTATATAAACAGTCATGGTACCTACTCAAAATTTTTAGTTTTATTTGAAAAAAGTCCAGAAATACCCATTGGAGCAAACGTCATTGACCTGTTGATTTGAAAATCAGCCTATGTATTGTTATTTGTTATCAGGTGTTATCCACTGGTTTTGATGCTCAGAGGCTTAGGCAAATCATCATAAGGGATCTAAGGAACTTCAGTCAGCCTGAGAAGACATTGGAGTTAGATTGCTCAACTGGAATCTTAATACCTCTGTATGATGCGGATACAGGAATGTTGTTCTTGGCTGGCAAAGGTATGAATATTATCTTTATTCACAGTTATATTCACCGTTTTTGGCATTTACGTCATAATTTCGTACGAAACAAGTATATTGCCTAACTGTATGAATAGGAACTTTCCTAATGGAGATTGCACACTGCACAAGCCAATCCTTAACACAGCTACTACTCGCTCTTGCACTCACAAATGAATTGGATAATAGAGGACTGTTATTAAATACGCCGCCAATAAAATCACAAACTTTCGGCATTGTAGTTGCAACTTTTACTACCATAAACTGTGAAAAGATTTGACGGTGTTGTTGCCTCATTCCTATAATAATTTGCACCTTTTGAGATAGCAACAGTCTTGTATGTAATATACAGGTCGTCCCACTTTAATCTCCCCAACAAATATTTAGAAAAATACGCAACCTGGAAAAGAAGTCTCAAACAAAAGTTGGAACTTCGCCTTTTTACTCCAAAATTGGAAAGAGGAAATGTTATGTGCAAGTCCAATATGACCTTGAGTATGATCATCACTGTGACCTTCAAGGCCATTTCAAAGTAAAATCAAGACATTTCAACAATTTCCTCTAGCAGGGGTGACCTTGGCCATGACCTTCACTATCGCATTCAAGGTCAAAAGTTTTACAATTCTCAAATATAAAATTACTGGCTCTGCAATTTTAGCATTAAAATCATGGGGCTACCTTACAAATAACATTAATATTGACATTCAGACGCAACAGTACCAATTCCATGATAGAAATGTTGACTTGACCTTGGAGGTCAAGGTTAACATTGAGTGACCCCACAAACCTCACAACTCTACTGTAAAACATAGTTTTTTTTTTAAATGGTCTTGAAGGTCATGGTTATCGTCAAGGTCATATTCGGACGTAGAATTATCTCCTATTTCCAAGTCTGGTGTAAAAACGTGAGGTTCCATTTAAAAGATTCGCTTGACCTTGCAAGTCGTAGTGAAGGTCATTGTTAAGGTCACTATCATTTTTCCTCCCTTCTAGGATGCGTAATTTTAGAAATATTTTGGTGGGCAGCTTAAAATGGGACACACAGTATACTTTTTTCTAGGTGATACCACAATTGGATATTGGGAAGTATCTGACAGAGATCCTTACCTTATTGAAGGTATAAGACATTCAGGAGAACAAACCAAAGGCGTTTGTTTGGTCCCGAAACGAGCCTTAAACGTTATGCAGGGCCAGGTTAATAGAATTCTGCAGTTGACCAGCAGTTCTGTTATTCCAATCATGTATCAAGTGCCAAGAAAAACTTACAGGTATGTTATCAGTATACAGAGAAATTAATTTACTTGTATTGAGTTGGAGGATAAGTCTGAGGATTATGATAGACAATACTGTAGAAATATACAACTGTAGTATGAATGTGTGAAAAGTGCTAAGTCGTACTTGTTACTTCCAGAGACTTCCATTCAGATTTGTATCCAGACACTCCAGGGTATAAGACTGAACTTACTGCATCAATGTGGATGCAAGGTAAAAATATTCCACTGCCTAAAATAAACCTAGATCCTGCCAAAAGAGAGAATGGAGAGGAACCCATCGTTGTAAGTTGCTGAAACTCACAATATTACATATTGTTTATACTTGCTAAAATGATTTTTCCTTAAAAGTATATCCACATTTAGTTTATAAATGAAAACGACACCCGGCAATAACTTGGAAAACGTTTTGGTTCAGATCATTATTATGTTCGAATAGACTTTTATCTTTAAGGATAAACCTTAGCATAAGTATCTTGGGAAGAATCAATCAAACGCAAGCATAGGAAATAGCGACTATTTTTCTTTTTTCTCTACAAGGTACATCGAGGTTCGCTGCAAGACTTGCGCAAAGAAAGCGCGGAGAAAGCGAAAAATGCCGAAAAGGTGCCTGAAACCAAACCGAAAATAACCACCACTATCCCAAAATCCGATTTCCATCCCGTCAGAAGCATCGTCAGAGACTTTGAAAAAGACAATAATAAACCTGACGAATTGAAAGAACCAGAGGAAACTATAACATCAGTCCCATCAGAAGCGGGATCGAAAACTGTAACATCGGCTCCATCAGAAGTGGTATCGAAAGCTGTAACATCAGCCCCATCAGAAGTGGGATCGAAATCTGTAGCATCAGAAGTGGGATCGAAAACTGTGGCATCGGCTCCATCAGAAGTGACATCTACCGAAAAGGTAAATGACGTAATTATCCCTCCTAAACCGTTACCGAGGACTTCTAGAACGTCTTCAATGTGCGATTCTCTACCTTCTTCTCTGGAAGATGCCGCTAATGCCCCAAAGCCTGTTGCTAGACCCCGCACAAACAGTTTAGCACCAGTCGTCACCTCGGTGAATCCCACAGCACCAATTTCCGGAGGATATAAGGTTATTTTTCGGTGTTTTTGGACGTGTTGCTCATTTTTATTTTTTATTTGATGTTCTTGGGTTTGGCTTCTCTATTTTATTTGCAGCGTTTTATTTCAAAAGAAAGTGTCAAAAATTATCCCGAATTTTGTATGGTATGCTCTACCTAGGCAAAATTGAGTATTTCATAGCGGAATTGAATTGTTTCATTTTTTTTTGTTTGGCTCGCGTGTTGGAAACAATTCAGTTGGAAATGGAATATTTTCGGAGTCTTATCATGTAGCAGCAGCGTCTCTCTCCTGGATTCAGTGATACAGACATTTCAGATAGTGTGGCCGAATGTTCAATAACTTCTCAGATATCCTATATTTCAAAGTCTAACCAAACTGAATGTTATATCATCGTTAGTAGTGAAAAAAATCTACACAAACCTCAGTGGAGATAGCCAAAAATGGCACACTTCTCTGCAAAGGTATGTAAGGTACTATAAATCTGTATTTCTTACCACTCATTTTGGAAAAAGAATGTTGAAATTCTGTCAAAATAAAAATCTAAGAAAATACCTCATTCAGCTGATATTGATGCTTTCTTACTTCTATTTTGATGTTTTTTTTTCATCTTTGCAGTTTGCACCTTGCACTTTGTAGTTTGAATTTAGCAGTATGCATATGGTTTACACCTCTAGATATAGAGAAAAGTTATACTTTCTTACCCATTAGCATTTCTTCATTAGATCTGAAGCATAATTAAGAACTGTTTACAAAAATTCTAGCACAGGAATTATATTAAAAAATAAAACAAAAAGTTCTTAAACATTCCCTGGTTAAGAGACACACTGTTATTTTAGGATATACTCGTACCTTCTGCCTTAGAAACACTGCATCTGCTCAATTTATTTATTATTATTGTTTTTTTTATGAATGACTTCACGTTTAATAACTTGAATGATACTATACTTTTCGACAGTGGGAACAGCCGAGCTTAGCAGTGTTGCCGGATTGTGCATCACAGCTTCCACTGTGGCTGGCAACCTTATTTCTGAATCACCGCTCGTATATATATTTTTTATGAACTGGTGAATTCTCACTCTATTTTTTTATCAGAGTCGATGCTTACAATTGAGATGAAATTGCGCATGTTTCCTTTGAAAGTTCGTTTTTCTAACCACAACACTATGCCTTTTTGTGCCTATGCAAATACTCGTAAGTTCGTCCAGTTACTGACGAATTTTCCGTTTTTAGCCGAGACTGGGCCCAAAGCCCTTCACACCTCCAAAACTTGACTCGGAGAACACATTCAGTAAGGTGTTTTCAGTGCCTTTAGTGCCAGGCCAAAATGGGTTACCTGCTGACAAAGTCACGACTCCTGTCGAAGAAAAACTGGCTTCACCAGTCAACGAGTCAGAACCTCAGACAGAGGAAGAGCCCAAAGTTGACGATGAACCTCAAAAAATCGAGGCTGAGAACGGAAAATGCTCTAGTGATGAGGAGGAGGCACAGTCCGAGTCAGATTATACACCTAAAACGCCTAGCACAGCAGAGAGGAGGAAATTGTTCGAGAAATCCAATTCTAAAGAGAACGAGGGTGAAGACACTATTGACACTGACAACTTTGAAAGGTATGCTACATGGAGGGCACAGAAAATATTGTATGATTCAGTTATTCAAAGGCTTTGAATAAAAATACTAGTTCTTTTAGTTTTTGTGGTTTAAAGCTTTTGAGCTTAAAGCATCATCCATTCGAGGATGAAAACTAATTTTTGATATCTTGAAGGTCTTCGGTACGGACCAGTATAGCAGAAAGGCGGAAGATGTACGAAAAACGATCCATGTCTGTGCAAGAACCAGGTAGTATTTCTCAAGAGAAGAAGGAGGGATCTCCAGTGATGTTAAGGAGGAAGGACTCCTTCAAGAATCGGAAAAATGAAGAAATTTTGAAAGAAGATAACAGAAAGAGTGTCCCTGTATCAAAACAACAGTCTTTGGACCCTGGGAGAAAGAGTGAGGCTGCTACACCTACACCTAAAAGAACATCTACTGTTTTTGGTGAGTCTCGAGAATCTCATCGATTTTGAAGTGGTTTTATTTGGCTTAATTGAGTAACCTCAAAAAGTTTTTGTTTCGAATATTTTCTTAACAATCCTTGAATAATACATTCAATTTTAAGGTTCAGACTAGTTAGAAAACATAGATTTAAATATGCCACAATTATTTTAGTTATTATTTTTTTAGGGCGTGTATCTAAATTTCGTCACTTGAAAGGTACTCCTGCTCACAAGTCTTTCCACATTGAGAATATTAGGAATATCAGTAGACAAATTTCAGGAGAATGTGACGGGTTTCATGGTGAGTGAATTTTGTTTACTGTGTTTTCATATAATTTAAATTTATTATACACAAGTGTTATTAAAATTTGAATCACCACTGTTCGAAAATTTTCGTTTTCCTTTTGTATGCTAAGTACTTTTGGGGCCGCCCTCGTATCTTGTTTACATGTTCGTAGCCAAGAGGGACTAACTTGTACCAAATATAATCCTTCACAACGTTGCATAGGAAATGCAGAGACAACTACTTGAAGCTATTTCTTTTTCCGCATATATGTATATTTTTTGTAGCCAATCCTGAAAGGTGCGCAGTGCCGTTAGCGGGTCCTGGAGGCAAAATTGCTATTGTCGAACTGTCAAGATATGGCCGGCTCCCTGACGGCGTATTACCGTCTTTGGTAAATGGTACCTCAACCGTGCAAGATTTTGCGTGGGATCCTTTCTGTGACAGGTAAATCATTCAGCTTGATTGTTTGTAGAATGCACTAACGATACATAGAGGATAGGCACTGCCGTTCAATCGTGGTTGTATATTTGTTTATTTTCCAACAAGGTGGGAGAAATGACATTTAAACCAGTGACGTATCATAATGAAAATGCTACTATACTCACATCAACATATAACCTCATATAGATCTTCTTGTAAGAATAACGGAAGGTCTAACTTGTCCTGAACATAAACATTTACGAACCTATGACGTCGCAAGGAAGGTGCTGAGTCAACCTACTTGACGCCATTTTTTGTTTGATAAGTAACTGGACCAGTGTTAAAAGGCGTATCTTTAATATTCGTGCTAAAACATTGGAGGTTTCGGTTCAGGTTGAATTTTGTTTTATAGACGATTGGCGACTGTTTGTGACGATGGCACTGCGCGACTATGGCGCATACCTGAAGGCGGTCTTCCAGAGCCTACTGCAACGCCAGAGAAAGAATGGCGCGCTCACCAGGATAAGATATACTTCGTGAAATGGCATCCTACTGCTGAAGATGTGCTCGCTACTGGTAAGAAATTACTTAAGGATGTTTATATTGATGCTAGTTCTTCCAAACGTAGTCCAATAGTTGGTTCCAAGAGGTTTAAAATCCATAACGCTTATTTTACTGATACTCTGCAAAGATGAAAGTATCAAGCAGGGTATCAAATCGGGTGTGTATCGAGTATCTGATGCTAATTCTTTGATGAGTTTTGCGGGAGGCCCCAAAAGTCGCATGTATCTACTACTAAGTTACCAAGTTACCCCAATGTACAATGTTTCTTTCATTTGTTACAACGGGAGATAGAACTACCTAACTCTTTTCTGTGATTTTACGACATGACAATCAAGATCTGGAACTTACCACATTCACCTCCATTTTGGTCAACTGAAAACTCCGTATCTTTTTTCCAGTACCTCACGACATGACAATGAATATCTGGGACTTTACAACCTTCACCTTCGTTTCTGGTGTGAACGACATAACTTTTTTCCAGGATCCTAGAAAATGACACTCAAGATCTGGGGCATCACAACCCTCACCCTTGTTTCCGGCAACTAAACCACATAACTCTTCTCCAGGACCCTATGACAGTCAATATCTGGGGCTTCACAACACTCACCTTCATTTTTGCCAACTGAACCACATATCTTTTTTCCAGAATCCTACGACATGACAATCAAAATCCGGAACTTTTCAACAACAATTTTCACCTCCGTTTCGGCAACTAAACCACATAGCTCTTTTCCAGGACGTTATGACATGACAATCAATATCTGGGACTACCCAACTCTCACCCCCATTTCTGGCAACTGGTCCACATAACTTTTTTCCAGGATTCTATGACACGACAATCCAAATCTGTAACTTCACAAGCCTCTCTTCCATTTATGGCAATTGAACAACCTAACTTCTTTCCAGGCTCCTACGATATGACAATCAAGATCTGGGACTTGACGACCCTCACCGATCAGATCACCCTGAGGGGCCACGTAGACCAAATGTTCAGCTTCGCGTGGTCGCCTTGCGGCAGCTACTGCGCCACGGTCAGCAGAGACAGCAAGGTGCGCGTGTACAAACCGCGGCACAGCGATCAGCCAATCAGAGAAGGCAAAGGACCGGAAGGAAACAGGGGAGCTAGAATCGTATGGGCGCTCGATGGAAGGTATATCGTCGTCACCGGTTTCGACAAGGTCAGTAAAGTCGAGTGAGTTGAAGTGGCACTTGCGGTGGTCACAATTTATAATATCTGGATTTTTTTTCAGTTCCGTCATGGAATTCGTATTTTAGTGTTGTTTTCTAAAAGTGTCTGCAAAGAGCTGCGCTTAGTATTAATATTATTGTCATTTATATTCGCTCCAACACAGACACGAAATATTGGTAAATACCACACATAGAAATATCAACCAAGGCTCACCGGGAAGATTAACAAAATATATACTCGTATTGCCACACCTTTTTGCAGCTGCAGATCCCACACTGAAGAGATTGCAGCAAATTAACTCTGGAAATACTTTTTTGCCTTCTAATGTCAAAAACCAGGTCAAGCTAAAAAAAAGGGGTTTTTAGGAGATTCCTGAATTTTTAGTTTAAATATGGAGGACAATTCTAAAAAGGATGGAGCTGGTGAGGGAGTGGAGAGTGTGGTCTCACTGAGTGAAAAGGGATTTTGTACAGAGGACGTTTTGAAAGTAAAAGATTATACCATGTCAATTCAAGAAAAATTAATAAAGGAATTGTACGAAAAGATAGACCAATTAAACCCAAAAATTGGGAAGATGCAACAGCCGTCACAAGAAGCAATTACAACTTACGCTGACAGGGCCTTCAACCGTTAATTCGCCTACAGCAATGGTAGAATATAAGCAGCAATGCTTACCATTGCAAACACGTATAGCAAACAAACAATCACCAGTATTAAAACTCACAAATACAGTCATTGTTAAGCCTAATAACCAACAAGAGTGTAATAACACAAAGAAAGACATCGCAATATGTGTGCATCCTACCATTTTGAAAATTGCTATTGAACAAGTTTATGAATTGAAGGATGGTGGGGTGAAAATCCAATGTAAAACAAGAGATGATATCGAGAAGTTACATAAAGAAGTAAAATCAAAAATTCCAGAAACAGATACAGTGAAAACTTCAGGGATAACCCGAATCCATGATTCTAAGTTTTCGATGACATTGGATTGCTTCGATTGCTGCTCAGTTTTGTGAGTGTTTGCTCGCTTTCATCGGATTCTGGAATGTCTACGTCGTTCTCATCGAGCCATCCAACATCATGGTGCTCTAAATTTTGAATAATGCACATCAGTTCATTAGCACGACGAGCAGCGACTCTCACAGGTCTAACTTTCCTATCAGTGTGCGTGTTTACTTTTTTTGGATATTTTCGATGTGATGATTTAGTGACTTGACGGAAGCATCCCGTCTGACAAAAATAATCGTAGGCCATTTGCAGGAAATCTTTGAGTGAAGCACTTAAGCGTAGAGCTAAATTGACTGGAAGATTAAGAAATTGCCCTCCTTCATCCAAAACCAAGTCATCAACTGTTTGTTTTACTTTTACAGGTGGTGGAAGAAACCTATTGACTAGTAATCTAAATAGGCCACTTCTTAGACGACAGCATTCTGTATTTCTACATTTTACAATTTGAAACAAGTATTGGCTCTCACGCACATGTTCTGAATACCATTTAATGTCTGGAAAATCAGGAAGATCTTGTTCACCTGCCCCAAAATATTTTGCATTAACATTATAGCCATCAATTTCCATTGAACTCCATACTTCAGCTAATACATTTCCTGCAAATTCGAAATTAGATCTTTCTAAATGTTCATCAATTCAATCAATTGTGCATCGAGATCATGTCGCTTAAAGTGTTGTATAGCAAACCCTATGACTTTTTGATAACGTGGATTTTCATCTGGCCCTCCATCAACCGCCATGATTACCACTGGTTTTACTAGTCCATGGTCAGTTTTAGCTAATGGTCGAAACTCTTCAAGTTCGAGATGCGTCTCGAAATCCTGAGCAAGAGTATTAGCAGTAGATGAACTATGCTTTCCACTTCGAATAGCGATGTATGTAGCATAAACAGATGGTATTAATTTATGACGCTCAGCGATTACCCAATCGTGATCAGACAATTTGATTCTATATTCAATGTGCATTAGAAGAGGTGCTTGCTTATTTGCCGCAGTTACGCCAATAGGGACTCCAGCTTTATCATCTTGAGATATGAAAAATATTTGATCTGGTCCAAGTATGGATGCTATGTTCTCTAAATAATGGATTGATGTTTCAGCGAACTTGCTAAGTGGCTCTTGTGGTGATAGTTTGAGCTGGAATGAGCTTAACAGGGACTGTCGATACATGTCTTCGTCCCTCTCCAGAATTAGATTTTCCGGGAATCAAACGAAGATATGTCCCACTGCGACTAATGTCAAATCCTATGTTACGAAATACTTGTGTGAGTTCATCAAGAGTTTTTACGCTGCGAATTGATTCCGTTCGTCTTCTATCATCTGCTACACTCCCAAATAAAGCTATATCCGCGATTGTTTTCAATAGTGAATGTTGATTGCTTTCAAGATTAGAACGTCCCACTGAATCCCTCAGAGATAGTCTTTTTTTATTTCTGGATTTTCATGACAAATATCTTCTAACTTTCTTTTCATACCATCCCTGTGTTTCTTCTGGGCAACTGCGTTTTGAACCTTCCTGTTTAAAGACTGTTTTGATGTTTTTATTTCCTTGTACAACTTAATGATCTGTTTATCAACTTCAGCACGGCTTGGCATAGTATCTCTGGCAGAATACAAAGCATTCAGATTTTTTTCGAGTAGAGCAATCTTATTTTTCATAGCTTCCTGAGAAGGCTTTGCTCTCTGTTTATCTGTATTTTCATTAATTTCGCATTGCTGTTGTGATTCATTACCGAGTTTTATTTTATCTTCTTCCTCTTTTTAATATTTGAACCTGACTGTATAATTTGTGTTTTTTCTGCAGGTTTACAGGTTGCCTAAAAATAAAAACTTTCTATGGCTTCTGCTAAAGATTCTCTTATTAAGCTACATAAATACAAAGTATGGCAATATACGGCTGACTTTGAAGTTGAGTCATTAATTTTCAGATAATGATTGTAGAAGGAAGATAAACCAAAATATGTGTATAAAAATAAAAAAAAAATGTTACCTTGTTTTATAAAGTATCCTCCCGACAAGTATTTCAGTGCGGACCTGTATTTGATCGTGCGGTCTTGGAGCACTGGCATGCCCTCCCCTGTGAGGTCTTAAGTCACCTGATTCACGAGCCCTTTGTACTACATTAACAAAGGCACGAGGGGTTGGTTGCACTCGATTGGGAAACCGATCCGCATAAATCCGTGATGCCGCGGCAGCATTTTGTAAAGACTCCCCCCGTAAATAAGAATCATGTCCACAAGTTCAGCATTTTCGCATGTGCCATTTTTTATTTCGTTTGAGCCACGCAACAAACACCACTATTCACTCACGCGTTACCGACTGACACATTGACTGAATACAACTGAATAAAATTGTAGTAAAAACATCGTGATAAGCGTTTCAAATTCTTTCGCTTTTTTGTTTCCGATGCGATGAACCGATAAGGCGGATTATATCCGTTGTTGCCAAACACGAGCACATAATATTATTATTGAGACAGGGCGGTACTCAAACTTCTAAAGGGCTATAACTTTGTTACTTTAATTTTACCAGAAAAATGTTAAAGGAAAAAAACATTTCTTTGATCAGATCTACTCACTGTTAAAATAAATGACTCAACTTCGAAGATATGGTAAATACAAAACCCTATGGCTTTAAATCTAATATGTTTAAACGAGCAATTCGTTTCGGTCACAAAATACAGGGTGTTAGTTTTCTGTATATATGTATAAAACTAACATCCTGTATTTTGTGACCAATTGACGGAATCAATCATAAGAAATAAATCTATAATATAATGAATATTACCTCTATACTTTGAGATAGGCCATAATATTTTCTAATCAGTAAAGAGAAACTTTTTGGCAATTTCTAATATTTCTAGTACTCATAGGTACCTAAAATGATTTCGTCACTCACTTTAGAAAAAAAAAATAGTAGATTGGATTTATTCTTAGTCGCCGCTTGCAATTCTTCTTCGATTCTCTTAGATACAATAATCTCTAGTTCCTTGTCGGATTTTGCTTGTAATTTCTAATTTCGCCACACTTCGTTAACTAACTTTTGTACATTTTGTACTTTCGTACTTGTATGAGATTTTTTAAAACTTTCAAACAATTTTTGGTATAACTTGGATTTGTCTATGTGAAACATCTTATTTAAACATTAAACTTTGGCTAATGGAATCAATGGTAACACAAATGTTAGCTTGCTTTACTATGCTTACAATACGTCTACTCGCTATAGTATCCAAACGAAACAATACACTGATAGAGGAAATTTAGACAAGTGAACACCGCGCGGTAATTCCCCTACTCGGTTCTAAAGCGAGTAGGGGAATTACCGCTCGCTGTTCACTAAACGTATGCATTATTTGCGGGAATCCCCGAAAATTCGTTTCGTTTTCAAGCAAAGACAATGTGAGGGTTGCCATTCGTGTAAAAAAGTAAATAACTACCAATGACGTAATCATCATCTAGACTCCCCTACCCCCCATGTCATCCAAAATAAGCAAAGTTACGCTCCGCTGCTACTTGGTACGTAGTCTTTATCCTTATCAGTCATCGATTGGTTCATCCATATTTAGCACACTTTCGTAGTCGGTAATTGAAGAAATTTCGTTTAATTGTCTGTAACTGATTGTTGTAGGTATATTTCCTATTAAGCCATTCGAGGAGTGCATGGATTCGTCCTCAGTCAACTGTCGTTGATTTAGCAACGACTGAGCAGTATGCTGAACATCATCTAAGCATTCAACTGTATTTTTAATATTCGCAAAATTTTCATAGTAATTAACAATTGTAGATTTCTCGTTTATCTGGTTGTAGCTGGTGCTTGCTGTAAGTGTGTTTTCAAGAAAAGCATCTGAGGGCTTCGCCGGCGGCTGTTTGGATTTGATTTCAGTTAACTGCTGTTGATTTGATGATGACTCAAGACTAGTGTTAATCGGGGATATATTTTCAATACAACCTTCCCAATCCTGCGTGGTGTTAAGATCACT